TGCAGCAAATAAAGTCCTTACAAACCCAGATCTAGCTAATCCGGGATTATTGTATGGACCAGATCCAGGACCATCAAGTTTGAGGGAGAGCGTTGCGGTATGGCTTCGAGAGTTTTACTCTGAGTATTATCCTTCCTCTGCCTCTAGTTTAGACGAAGAAAAGAATAAGCGGGCATCATTGAATAAAGATAACCAAGGTACACAGACAAGTCCAGAAGCAGATAGAATATGTATTACAGGAGGAGCATCGCAAAATCTAGCGTGTATGTTACAGACATATACAGATCCACTAGTTACGAGAGTGTGGATGGTTACGCCCGGGTATTTTTTGGCGGGGAGGATATTTGATGATAGTGGGTTGAGAGTTAGAGCTGTTGGGGAGGGTGATGAGGGGGTGGATTTGGAGGGGTTGGAAAGAATGATGAAGGAGGCGAGCAAGGAAGATCATGGTGTCGAGGTATGTTAGATTTTTCACGTGATTTGAAAGATGTCAATGTCTTTTCTGGAGTTGTAAAATTTGGTGTATGACAGAATAGTAAGGAATGAGGCTAACTAACGTGGACAGCCTATCAAAGACTCAAAATCGAGGCCATGGGGTAAGATCTACAAAAATATCATCTACTGCGTCCCGACCTTTTCAAATCCGTCGGGAAAAACAATGACACTATCATGTCGCACTTCTCTTGTCAAATTGGCTCGCATATACGATGCATTAATCGTCACAGACGATGTCTATGATTTTCTCCAATGGCCTACTTCATCATCTTCCTCTGATGCTCATCTCAAAAAGGCTTTACTTCCCCGTCTCGTCGACATCGACCGTACACTCGAACCTATCCCTGATGCAGCCAGTTTCGGAAATGCAGTAAGTAACGGCTCATTCAGTAAAATAGCAGGACCAGGTGTTCGTACCGGATGGATTGAAGCAACTCCTAAATTCGCTTTAGGTTTGAGTCTAGTGGGTAGTTCGAGGAGTGGTGGATGCGCAAGTCAGTTGACTGCTACTATTATTGATCAGGTTTTAAGATCGGGAGATTTGATGAAACATATTGAGGGAGTACTTCGACCTGCTTATAAGGAGAGATGCGAGAGGATGATGAGCGCGATTGAGAGGGAATTGGGTCCATTGGGTGTGACGGTTGAAAATACGGGCATGGAAACGGGTGAAACAAAAGTCTTTGGAGGCTATTTCATTTGGTTAAATTTGCCAGGTGGAATTGATGGCGATTTGGTAGCGCAGATGGCATTGGAAGATGAGAATCTTGTGGTAGCTAAAGGAAGCATTTTTGAGGTGCAAGGGGATGAGAGTGTGAAGTTGTCTAGGGGATTGAGACTTTGTTTTTCGTGGGAGGAGCCGGATGATTTAGAAGAGGGTACTGTGAGGCTAGGGAGAGTTGTTAAGAAAGTTTTGGAAGGAGGTCGCCTGAGAAGTGGGAATGGAAGGGAAAATGGAAAGAGTCTTGCGGAGTTCAAGTGATTATGATAAGATTAGAAGCAGGCGGTGTTTAATAGCATCTTCTCTTCAAGGAAATCGGCTACAATTAATCTTTGACGAGTTGTTGGACATTCGGATCCAAGTCCTATGTATTCCTAAGATTTGATGGTGTATGATTACTGTCAACTGGCCTCACCTGTATCTCAAGCGATAACTCAGAGTCTTTCTGCTGGTGAAATGGGCTTTCATCGACGCGATAACTTGCACGTATTGAAGTGAGTTAAAAACGAATCTGATACCCTACTATATACACAGAAATCAAACTCTATATACTGCAAGCATAAATCTTCAAATGCGCCAGTAAGTATGGTAGCGACTGCACTTCCAACCCTGTCTTCGTCTTCGTCCTATATAAAAGTCTACTAGACAGCCACAAAACGAGCGCACTAGCTGTCCTATCCAGCCTCATCACGTCATAACTCTCAACATGAATCGTCAGTCAGCAATTCATAAACCCTGACTAATTCCCCTGGCCCTTGAATCCACATTCCCAACTCAATTACAACGCTTCTAACCACCCCTGTACATCCCCCTATTGTTGATAAACCTTAACCGAATTAATCAACCAATAAGCCGGTGCGAATGCCGCTGGATTCGCCCCTACATAGGCGTTACATGTACTCGCAACACTAGCGCAATTCCCACTAGACCAAACAGAACCTGCCCAGTCTCCACAAAATGTCGTATCGAAAACGATCTGTTGATTCGCAAAGAAACTGTCGATATTACACCCACTTCCTCCATTGAATGCCACGAGGGGTGATCCCCAATTCCCCGTTACGGGTTTCCCGGCAGTGACATCAGCGGGTACACTACCTTGAGGCCAGAACCAGACATAGATACCGGAGGATTCCCATTGCATGGCATAGACACCGCCACCGACAGAGTTGAAACCATTTCCGTAGGAATTGGCTTTGTTGGTAAGCACGCCGCAGCCGTTATAGCCACTATTGGAATTGCAGTTTGGGTCACTTAGGGTGATACCGGGTTGAGAACCAGCTGTATTGATTACGCAGCCGGGTCCAGTATGCAAGGTCATGCTGTTTGTGCCGGCGAGGTTAACACCTTCGATGACGTCGATTTCTCTAGGACATGGTCAGCATTGCGGCTGCGGTGGAGAAGTCCGGGAATAAGCGAGAGAAAAGAAAAGTGCAAAGAGACTTACCCTCCATATGGCCAATTAGGACCAACAAGCCAAACTAGAAGAAGTATTAGTCAACCACTTTGACCTAAACTTTTCAAAAGAATTACTCACAAGCGGGCCAGACTCCACAGATTGATCCAGGCATATGAGCAATATCAGCAATAAAGAGCCCATGATTATATGCCTTATTACTCGTAAGTCTGACGGATGCACGACCAGCTGAAGGGTTAACCGTTTTATGATCAACACCTAAGTAGACCTGACCATTGTTGGTGTTGATGAGACCTTGTGCCGAAGCCGCTGATTGAGATTGATATGATACATATCCATGAGTAGGATCTTCACCTGTGAAGAAGCTAAAGGAAGAGAAGAAGTTGGCCGAGTTGTAAGTATCTTTGAGGTTATAGGTAGCAGTTGCATATTGCTGATAGGTTCCTTGAATATATGGAGCAAGAGCGGTAATTGTGAGAGGTAAGGATAGTAAGAGATTTGTATAAAGGAAGGTAGATCTAGGAGACATCTTGATTGTTTAAGGATAGATGTGTAGAATGGAGATGATTACACAAGCATTTGCAGAGGCTGTAAAAGCCAGTGAATATTACGCTTCAAGGAAGGGAAATTCAAGAAGTCAAATCAGAAGGAGCGTAAGATCTGCCATTAGAAGATCCAAAGTGGACAAGATGAGCACTTATATGTTCGACAGAGAAAAAGCTATCACTTTCCCAAGACGAGAATAAGTGTTTGATTAGATCACTTGCCATGAACCGCACCACCGAGTTTAGAAATCATTTCCGTCTTGTGAGTGTAACATGCCTCCTTGTTAATCAGAGTTACAAGAGAAACACAGCGAAGGAATGCGACGTAACCAAAGTATCTTCTGATATCAAAACCATGTGGGAAAATCCGGGGTAGTGTCCCAATAGTCCGGACTTCAGTCAGACAATTGAGAAACTTCCAATTTCTCATTTCAGTTAAATGAGTCAGCTAACTCGGGGTATTAAATTACACCTCGATTGAGATGTTACTTCTTTTTGCACAGACTGTTTTGAGTTGATGGAACAATACTGAAAATTGTATTTCTCTTCAGATATCAAGAATTTGCGTTCAATCTACCCGTCCGGACTACTTGATGCTCTAACCCGGAGTATTTGATCATCTCAATTCTTGGCACGCCAGGACCGGAAGAATCCAATGTTTATTCGTCGAATTCCACTTTCCAATCTGACTTGCAATATCCGAATCCATAAAGCTTGTGTTGGAGAAGAGGCAGAAGGCAGAAGGCAGGCAGTAATACATATGAGTGACCAGAACATGCGAACACTGTCCCCACGAATGAAAGTCATAAGAAGACTTATTATATCTTATCATTTACGCCAACATCAAAAGCCACAGTATTTGTAGTTCAATGTTGATCGTTTCCCATGTATACTCTTTTTAATTAAGGGGTATTGCTACGGAATATTTATGACCACTTGGGACACAAAGATCTGAGCCTCAGCCACTCGACAATCTGACAGAAGTAACCTGAACACTAAGTGAGCCCTGCAGAAATTACAGATTACCTATTGAATTGCCAAATGAGTGTTGAAGATTTCGTTTCAAAGAGTGTCAGCAGCGTAGTATCGATCTTTGAATTATGCGTTGTTTACCCTCGTGAACCAAATTACCGGACCCTTTTCTATATCGGCTGATATCTTCATCTAGTAGTTCACAATCATTTGATCGTGTATTACCACCGAGTATAAGTCCGAAAGATTTTATTAACACTTGTCTTTTTCTTTCTTGGTATTTTTTGACCATGGGGAAAGATCCTAGAAAACGCGGGGATGTAAGACCTCGGTAGTGGTTGTGTGTGGTATCGTGGCGTTCACGGCATGAGAGGATACTTTGCTACTTATAATTTAATAAGCATGTTTTTAACACTACAAGTAGTTCCGTACTGTACCTAGTTTATCAATCCTTCCGAAGTATAAGATTCAGTCTGACTTACGATCCCGTCAACATCTAGTGATATAGGTTGTATTGATTGTTTAAGCGGAACTGAGTCTTAACCCTATAAGATCCCGGTAGTGATTCTCCCGTCCGGCGCAGTAAATAGATCTAATTGTGTTCTAGGAATTGATCATGAAGATCTGATTACATTAATTTTGTAAATCCGAAAACGGTTAGTTGTAGTTCAAGAGAAGTATCATATTTAGATACTTATTTGGATACTTCTCTTGAACTGTCAAAAAGGAATGAGAAAATATTTGACCTTGCTATAAAAAATTGGTGATTGAACTAATAACAGTATACGCTAGTGTGTAAACCACTCTTCATCGCTGTTGGTCTCAATAATATCTCCACTTCGTAACCAATTCATTATTGGGACCAATGATCAGGTCCATACCAAGCTGGATCCCAAAAAGTACGCGGTTGTACACCTTCGCTTCTCTCATTCATTAAATGACCGCGACTAAGAGAATTCAAAGGCAAAGTTACAGCCTCAGTCGGATCTTTAGCAAGGGCAATGCAACTACACATAGTATCCTCATCACTTTCAGCATCAACAAACCCTCCCATACAAAGTCTCAATATATCGTCAGTCAAAAGATCTTCATGCTCTTCCAGTCTTGGCTTCCTACGAATAGGACCCCCTCTAATTCCATCCATCTCCCATAATGACCCGTCTTCTCCCCTCACAAAAGCCACATAATGTCGGTTCAACTTCTCAACTTTTTCTGTTGATGCTTTATCGGCCAAAATAGCAATGGCCTGGTGAGCATCTTCGAACTTTTGGTCGTTATATAACATCGTTGCTCGATCATCAGGTCCTAAAGGAATAGATTGTTCATAGAGTCTAGATAATACGGTATCGGGCAGAACATATCTATGAGCCTGTCCATTTAAAAGGCAATGTAAGAGACCCATAGAGCCACAAGCACCAGCAATTGCTTGTTTGAACCAAATCACAGGCTGATCAGGTCCGCTCCCTTTATAAGGTAGTTTTGCCATCTCCTTTGCACGTGTCATTGATTCCCAGGTAGACGTGAATGGTATGGAAAATAGGAGAGCATAGACTGGACGAGGGATGTTCTTGAATGAATCCGTTCCAGTAAATGAACAAACATCGTAAAACTTAAGAGCGGGAGAAAGTCCAAGTTTAATGGCAAGCGCATTCATCACTTTTGATTTGTTCTCTGATTGATGTCAGTGTGTTTAAAAAAAAACGAATGAGAATATCGTTTTTCCATACCAAATTTTGTAAAGGTCAGTCTGTTGTTGATCATTCTTGCACCTGATGGTCTTAAGATCATTTGGGAAGTCAGATTCAGAGAAGCCCCAGGATCGATATCCCTCGTGTCTGGGAATATCAGTTCTGCTTTCGAAAATCCCCCAGGTTCTGAAAGTCGGGATACCAGTTTTCTTGTCGGGAGATCCTCAAGTTCTGAATCTGACGATACTTGTGTTTCTTTTGGGGAACCTTCAAAATCCAGTTCCATTTTGATATTAATGACCTTGTCTTTTGGATCGTCAAGATTCATCTATTCAATTGCTGGCAATAAAATATCCGAGGTATCATTAAGATCAAACACTGTGTCTATAGCGAGTCTGTTCGGATTGAAGGTCATGATGAAAGGATGTATGACGTGGTATTATGTAAAACTACTTAATGATATTGTTTTCTCCAAAATTTCTTGATCTACAATGTTGATTTGAGGAGCAATAAATGCAATGCTAGTGATCATGAAGTTGAGCAATAAGTAATATGTAGAAAGAAGCCGATAACAAGTCATGTCACTTCCTTCCTCTTTGGTAGACTGTCACAAGGGTTTTAGTTCGTCAACGTGGTTTCCAGAAAGGAGAGTCGAACAACTTGCTAAAGGTACTTTTTGAATCATGCCACATTGAACCAATTCAATTTTGATTCATAACATGTACTCCGACGTTCATTTACACCAGAACCACAAACATTATATCATATATCATTCAACGGTATTCATAAAGTCTTCTCTCGTATAAACCAAAACTACTGCCGATCCATGGTCATCAAACTTCGTTACACATAAATCATTGCCTTGCTCCTTCCACTTTTACCGAAGCATGATTCTTCCGTCTCGACTCTCACCCCCCATTCTCCTTTCCAATCTCACAGCGACCAGCAACCCCAACCCCAACAATCCCGCTGCCAAAACAAATCCACCTTTCTCATCCATCCATCCCTTTAAATCCCACCGTGAGAAATCCACAAATCTATCATTTCCACCCATCCCTTTCGCAAATCCTAAACTCCATACTCCCGTCCCCAAACAAGCACCTACTTGTTCCAATATTCCCATTCTCATATAGTATTTTTCTATCGCCGATCTTCCACTTCGTTTTCCTTTGTAATTGATTTCACCTACTTCCGGTTCCAAATCTTGCAAGACACATCGAGCTGTAGTTATGTATCCCCTTTCTCTCAAATTGTTTTCTTCCTCAAAATCATCAGAGTCTTCGGAGCCCGAATCAGAAACCAATCCACTTCCCCAAGCAAGCAAAGCAACTTGCACCGGACTCCCCGCCACACTTCCTCCAATCGCCAACCAAAATACTGCTCCTCTTGTCGTCGGAAGTGCCAAGAGTATCAAACTCATGGTGTTAGCCAACAAACTCCATTTTAGAACCGGGAAATCATTTTCCTCATTGTTTTCCATTCCTTCTCTTTCCTCAATTTCCGCTTCATCTCCTTCTTCGTTGTGAATAAACAAAACTCGTAATTTCCTCTCTTGATTCATTAATTTTATGATTCGTGGGAGAAATATTTGTAGGATACTAGATCCTAATAAACAAAAACTGTAGATGGTTGTAGTAACATTGTATGGAAGGTTTTGCGAAAGACTAGTGAATTGAGGGTAAAGGATATGAATCTTTAGTGAGAAAGTAACTAGAAAGACTATAGATAGGAACGCAGTTGCCGGATTGATGTGAGAATTTGGTTTCGGGTGCGATGGAAAAGAATTTATATTTATAGGTGGTGAAATGGTTGAGTTGTTGTGATTTGTTGAAGTTAGTGAGGTTTCTGAATCGTGATCATGCTGGTCTTCGTCGATGAAATCTCTATACCTTCCCCTTTCCATACCTGTCTCTCTTTCTAAACTCTGTATGTTGATATTTGACTCAAAGACTTTACCTGAAGGTAAGAGCATCGCTATTCCAATGGAAAGAACCCGACATCCAACCGCAAGCGCACAGATAACCCAAACACCATATTCATACCTTAACAGAAAGCCTGCGAGTGAAAGAGCTTCGAAACTACTGAAAAGTTGTAGAGCCACGAGACGATACAAGGTAGAGGATCTAGATTAGTCATGATCAGCATTTTGATACAGGAAATGGTTCCAAAATATATAAGATGCCTGAGAGTTGCAAGACATAACATAATGTGGTAAATCTAGGTCCAAGGAAGCAGGAGATAGAGGAGGAAACATACAAACCCCATTCCCACTCTCAACATTCGCCTCCTCACCAATATAAGTATACAGCAAACTAACCATAACTACTTTTCCACCCCCTATCAAATCAAAAACCGGTATCAAATAAATCCATCTAATGTCCCACATATCAGAATTCCAACCTACTCCCTCATCAATAATCAGCACATCTCCACAAATTCCAATTTCTAAAACACACAACCTATGATTCTTCCCCAAATTTAAATACTTGGAAACAGACGAGAAAGAAACTCACAAACAACTCCCCACCACACTCCCCCCAACACCCCACTCCCAGCAACCAATCCCACAACCCCTCTCCTCGTCCCCCATCTTCCCGCAATCCAACCCCAAGGTTCTGTCAGGAAAATCCCTGGGAGATAGCTCATAAACTGAAACATTCCATTTATCTCCGCTATCCGTGATTGTACTGGTGGGGATTTACACATTTCTTTCGAGGAGAAAGAAAGAGGAGAAGAAGACGGAGTATAAGCACTACAAATATATCGTTCGATAAGAGGGAGATATGTAGAGCTGAGTAAGAGAGAAGAGATAGTTGAGAGGAGGAGGAGAAATGTTGCTATTTGACTTGGAGTTAACTTTTTCATTTTTGATGGGAGTGAAAGGGAGGAAGGGCGAGGGAGATTGGGAGGAGGGGCGAGAAGAGCAGGGTAGAAAATTCGGCCGAGCATTTGTCTTAGTTGGGTCGGTTGGAATTGAAGATCTATAGGGTAGAACAATTACTGTAAAACTCAGTGAATTATATCAAATCCCACTTCTCGCTTAGGTGGCTTGAAAAGGATGAGGAGGTAAAATTGAATTCTATAAATAAGAGGAAATGCTAAAAGGAAGCATATGTTATAAGATAGAATATGACAAGAATGAAGCGCATCTGAATAGATAAGATGGGATGAGAGCAATGTAGTTACACAAACACGAGTACAAGCAGGTACAAAGTACAAGTACAACAGATTTTAAAAGGTACGTTCCCATGCATACAATAAAGTTCTGAGAGCACAGTCGACAAGATAAATACCGGCTCACCGATACCAAAACGTTCACTCTACAGAACAAGGTATTTGTTTGTAGAAAAGTCGATACTTTACGGTCCCAACCCCGCTTCATATCCATCTTTCCCCTTCCGTACCCCACCAACCCCACCAACCCCTCTCTTCCTCTCAACCTCACTCTTGGCCTCTCCCAATTTCAATTCCAATCCTAATCCCCAGCCTTCACCCCTCAAATACCAACTCACCATCTCCCTATCTCACAAACCCCATGCACCCCATGCACCCACCCGCTCCACCTCCAATCGAGAAAAAAACACCACACTTCTCACTACATATCCATACACAAACTACCCACTACACACATGGAATATGCAAGTGATCTCTCAGCTGAAAACTTAAGACGATGCGCTACTTCGCCTTTGTACCATTCTACTGTCATACCGACATCGAAATTCTCAATCTAATTCTCCCTTGTGAGATGAGATGAAAGGATAGGACGAAAATAAAGAATGAAGAAAGAAGATCCGCTTGGTCTACTGTAACCATACTAAAAGAATTCACATCTATGTGCTTAAATGAGAAATGATAACAGCTGATATCAAGATCAACCTAGATGATACATAACTCCCATTTCTAATTCTAAAGCTTCGAATTTTAATATCAATATGTCCTTCCCACCGGATCAATATCCCAATAATGTCCATCTTCCCATCTTCCCGTCTTTCCAATGAAAATGCATACATAAATACATACAATATCAATACCACGAAAAACAATACCACACCAAAATCTATTCAGTGCTCTTCCCATCTCTTCCCTTCCCCTCCCATCTAAACTCTCCACCCTAAATACCCAACCATCCCTTCCCCCTCTCATAAACATAAAAGCTCACCGCAACCATCGGCACAACCTTAACATAACCAATCGTCAACCCCACAAAGAAACCTCTCCATCCTCTCTCCCTCACAATCATCCTGGCCGTCTCCCCAATATGCAGCCTCCTCCCATCTCCTACAGTTCCTCCAACCTGCATCCTCCTCCTTATCACTTCCAAAGGATACGCGCTCGTTTGAGACACCAATCCCGCTACACCACCAGCGAATAATTCCGCCCACGATCTAAGCGGCGCTGGCTTATTCTCCGCATAATGTGCTGGTTTCGGAAGTGTCGTGTATTGTTTGATACTCTTATGTCTTAATAAATCTCCCGCAGTATCATGCGTTAAAAATGACATTCCGGCATACGGCAACATTCCCAATATCGTTGCCGAAAATCCTCTATAAAAATTCGCCAACCCGCTTTTGGGAACAATACTCTGCACCGCATTTTCTGCTCCGGCAACTAGACCTCCTGCCCCAGTTGAAGTAGATAATTTAGGCTGCGGCGGAACTTCATGATATATTCTCCTACAAATTTCCCCCAACCCCGCGCTCCGTCCTTTTGTCTCGAACGCTAATCTAACTCTCATGACCTCCAGGGGATAAGTGAAAAATACACTCGTTACTCCCGCCAAACTACCGCTAATCAATCTTCTAAATGGTGTTTCGTATTCATGTTTCGGTATTATCGCTGCGCGGATTTGTTCATATGCTAGAAATTTAATCGCCGCGTATGGAAATATACGGAGGATAGTCGCAGAATGTCCACGAAACAGTCCGCGCAGTCCCTCGTCGCTGTGAATATCTCGCATGGCTGTGATATATCCAAACCAGGACCCGGTATATTTGGCGAATTGAGGGTTGCTGGCTTGGAAGAGGATTTTTACTCGGTCGAGGGGGGCGACTACGGTTTTCGCCTGGGGTGAATGTTGTTAGCTACATCGTTCTTGATGCTCTAGATATTTTTTCCAGTAGAGTTCGCGGATAGAGCTCGTAGAAAATTGTAAAGAGAATACATACTGCACTCCCAGCCAAGCCCCCCGCCAACCCCGTTCTCCAAATATAATCCCAACTTTGTTTATTTCTAATCTCCTTCCCCGCGGGCTTTAACCTCCCCTCCTCTCCATGCCCCTCCTTCTGCCCCTCCTTCTGCCCCATCCTCGACTGCTTATTTCCCAATGCTACCGTATCATCATCCGTGGGACAGATAGCTGACGCTGATTTTCTCCTTCCATCAGCGACTGCGCTCGCCATTGTTTCGACTGGATTGTTGCCGTTTGTCTCTCGTGATCCGTTCTGTTCTGTAAATATATTTGTTGAGCTCGATGAGGCATCCTTGGTCATATCATTCCCATTTGTTTGATTCTTATTCCTCTCTTATCAATCAATGTACCATAACAATTTCTCTCATTCCATGGCGCAAAGTTTCTTTCAAGACACCATCTGTAAATTTACAAGTTGTTTGCAAGATCTTAAGAGACCGAATTGTTCGTAATGTTTTGAAGAGATACCTTCAACCAAATCGCATGTATGTATATGGAGCGTCTCTGTTTTCTGTTTACTCTTTTGGCTGCACCCTTCACCCGCAAACGTCATACTAGCGCCGTACAATCGGTCGGCACTCGGTAATCTTCCCCTCGCAGAAATGGATGCACATATGGATGTTTATTTTGCCATCACCAAATACAATCTTCAAAGGTTTGAAATATTACTTTAATATTCACGAAATTCAGACCCAACCGAAACCTTCAATTATATATATTCTCTCTTGTAAATAACGGTTCTGATATTTCAAACCCGAATTATTCCGTAAATCTTTTTCACACCTCCTATATAACATCGAAACCAAAATTCTCAGTATCAAACCTCGGGTCTACGGTATTCATCGGCTTAACTTTGTCAGCGTGATCGGCTGAGAACTGATTCGTTAATATTTCCCCAGAGATCAGGAAAGAAAGAGCATGATATCTAAACGTCTAGCTAGAAGTCTCCGTGGAATTCATGATAGTCGGTCGATTATCAATTAACAGCGTATTCATATGACAATATATATCAGGGGAGAACTCTAGAGATGAGTTGAAAATTCAGAAGAAGAGTGGTATTTGCAAATTCAAATATTCATGTACACCCTCAAACTTTTTCATCAATGTGAACCACCCATCCCCATCCCCATCCCCATCCCCATTCCCATTCCCATACCATTTTCATACCGAACACCTCCAGTGAAGACGATAGATGAAGCAAATAATCAATCATCATCGACCAACCCATAGAAACAAAAGTAGACCCGCAATCGCACAAATTATATACGTTTTGCCAACTCCCCATCCCCATTCCTATTTCCATCCCATCCCACCCAATCACCATTTTTTTTAAGATTCACTCCTGCCCTTCCCATATGCACTTAGTTCATCCATCCATCCAATCAACACAATAACTTTTACTTTATACAAATGCCCTCAACCCTCTCAATCCACTCCCTTTTTTCTTTTCCTTTGGACTACTCTTTGGACTTTCTTCCGCACCACTCCCACTTCCCTCCTTCCTCCCTTTGTCTCTATCTTTTCCATTATCCTTATCCTTCTTTACTGCTCCGATATTTCCAACTCCTCCTGTTTGAATGTTAGATAATAATTATAAAGGGTCAAAAAACACAAGAGAGAAAGCATCATCTTTCTCCAACTTTGAGTTTAATGTACAATTTACCATATTGGAGATATCAGTGTACTTACCACGACCATAACCCCTCATTTCACTTTGCGGCTTAACCTTTGGCTTGGCCTGGGCTTCCAAAGAATCCCTGTCACTATTATTGCCATCTCTACTGATTGTCCCATCCGAATGTGAGGAACCTGGCGCTGGGCCGAAGTTACTTGAATGAGAAAATCTACCTCCATAAAAATCTGGACTTGTAGGTGTACTTGTAGGTGTTGACCTAAATGCGTGGCCTGATGTTGGACTGTGAGAATCTATCCTGGGCCGAGCAATAAAACTTGATGTGCCTGTAAGTGGAAATGTTGCTTTAGGCACAAGGCTTCCCGGCCTTGTCGAATCTGAATAGCTATGAGTTAATCGACGATGATCTCTTGGAGGAATATGTGGCCCAGGGGATCCATCAATACTCATAGGCAAATCAGACACTCTATCTTGTGCTGTAAGCGCTTCAAGGTGGTCTTGTTGTAACTTAGTATATCGTTTCAAAAGATTAGAATGGGCTTTCTTCATATCATCCATGCGTCTTCGCGACCCAGCCAATGCCTCATCAATGACCTTTTGTTTTGCAGGATCGAATTGTTTGAAACCAGTTTGATTGGTATTTTGTGCTTCTTGAACTTCTTTTTGACATTTGACAATCAATTGTTGTATTTCCGCATCCTTGGCCTTTAATTTCATATTGAGGATTTCGATAGTGTTGTAAGCTTGTTCTTCATCCTGTTTCGCTTGATCCATTTCAACTTCTAGAGCTTCATATCTTCGTAATTTCGTAGTGAGCTTTTCGGCCTCGATGCGTAATCGCTCTAATTCTTCCTTATTTGATTCCACTACTTGAATTTCTTGAGTAGCATGAGAGACCTTATACTCGGCTTGAACGACCAATTGCCTTAGATTGTGTATGTCAATTTTTGATGCAGACAATTCACGCTTTAATTGATCGCCCTCCACTATCCACTTCTTTTGTTCCTCCTTCAACAATCTCAGTTTGGCCGTCAAATCAGATTCCCATTTCCTAGAATGATTTCGACTCTTGTCAAATTCTTTCTTCATTTGCACCATGGCTTTCTTGGCATCTTCCAGCTTTGCTCTCAAGATTTTGTTGGAGTTGATCAAATTTTGAGTTTCGGCTTCGACTCTTGCTTCACGAATAGCCTTCCGACGAAGTTGTCCAATATGAGTCAGATGTTGCTGTTTAAGATAGCGTTCAAAATTCAAGTCATTTTTCAATAACATAATATCTCTCTGTAAGTATGCAACTTTCGTAGAATCATTTGTCCCGGGTCTCAAAGATGGTGAACGAAGGGCGTGTGCACGGGTGAGTGATTGTAAGTAGGAATCAACATGAGAAGTATTATCTTGGGCATGATGACTCAACGCAAGTGATTGTACGCTATCGTTCGTCAAAGTTTGATAGATACCACCTCTAATTGAACCAGCTCGTTGTGAATCCAACATATCTTGTAATTGAGTATGTGAAGGAGAAGTAGCCATGACTGGAGGTAGTGTAGGACTATCTAATCGCCTTTCCGGTCTCAAGATAGGAGAGTCCGCAATTGAAGGCATTGATTGACTTGTGAATGATGCCCTTCTCAGCACAGAATTTCGTAGTGCTTCTGGTGACGCAATAGTAGGCGGTCCAGCAAATCTCCAACTCGTATGCCGAGATTGAGCAGGTGTAAATGCATTGTGTTCTGTCAGTGGTTGATCTGGGACGTCGGCATTAGTATCAATGTGTAGGTTTGGTAATTGTGATCTTGATAATGGAGCTTGTTGAGCATATCCTGGTATGTATAGTGCCATACATTCAGTCACAACATCCGATGCTTCACTTTTCATCCATCGATTAGTATCTGATAATTCCTGATCAATAGTCATTGTGAAGAAATTTGGATGTAAAAGATGGAGTTGTCTGAAAGGTTCAGATCGTTGTCTTATTTCCATAGGTTCAACTGCGAATTCATTGGCTCCTGGGAATCCTTGATGCCTTAGGAACTTTTGAGGCTTTCGAATGTAACTCATGAAATTCATCGGATAGAGGCCGTAAAGAAATGTGTAATAGTGTAACAATTCCGGAACTGATACATCTTCCGAATCCAGCAAGTAAGACAATTTAGTCCATGAACTTGTACTGTGAGTACTTCTATCATCTTGATCGTCAGATGCCGAATTATCCTCATACTTTCGTTCCCTATCCCAAAAAAGCATTCTACTGTAGATATTGAAAAGCGCAGGGAGATGCTTGGAAAGAGAGCTTGGGATATGAGGTAGAAACATAATCAAAGCTGTCATGGCCAATGATACTACTCGAGTCGAAGTATCTATCTGTAAACATCGTAGGAGATTCTCGAAGAGGGGAGTTTGGAGGAGTTGATGTAGATGAGGCGGTTGATGCCGAATGAACTCGCAAAGTAATGAGAGGGCAAGAATTCGACTGTCTTTTTTAACGAAGAATTGGTTGATAGCAGTCAAGAAGTTCTGTAAGTCGTCAGAATTTCACCTCCATTCCCGGATTATAGAGTGCACATACCTTTGGTCTCTTCCTTCCAAATGAAATAAGGATACTCCTTAATTGACTCTCAATGAACTTTGAATTCTCATCAAGGTTTGTAGCGACACTATTACACTTCGCCAGCCAAATAGCAATTAAATTCTCTGCCACAGTATCCGAAGTAGTAATGGCATCTTCTACATGTTCCTCATCTTCGTCGTAAATAAGAATGTCCAGTAAAGTATTTCTAGCTTCCAAAGCCAATCCCTTCTCTTCTCCAAGATGACTCAATACTGGTATACATAATTTATCCCACCATTGTAACATTCTACCACCACCTTTTATCGAGGTTCGTAGTTTTCGCAATATGGATAGAAAGGGGGCATAGCGAGTAGGATGGTCACAGATATCCTTTTCATAAATGGAGAGTAATTCCTCCTGGATTTTGCTGGCGTCGGATTCATCGTGAGTAGGATTTTTCTCAAGGTAGGTATGAATAATTCGCACAAGGTCGTCTGGAAGTGGCAATCGGGTAGAAGTGGTTACTGATGTTTTGATCGCTTTCGTTAGGTCCTTGAGTGAACTGTGTTAGATATTGTTAGTCAAAGACATATAACAACGAACATGAGAATACCATACCCGGAAGACATCTTGTCTTCTTCATTGATAGCTCTAGCAAATAATGCTCCTCTTGAATGCTTTACCAAGCTTTTCTGTCATGCCTCTAAGCTCTTCTAAGATGCGGGGTCCTGATCCTGTGTCTCTTTTTTTCGAATGCGTCTGATCAATCAATCAATCAATCTGTTTGTTTCAATTCCTTATCATATCATATTATCGAGAAAAAGGCACCGTCTACCATCTCCTCGCTTGACACATGGGGAATAATCTCATTGACAGAAATCTAGAAATAAATTTCGGTATGCAACAAGGTATCGTGGATCATCTGCAAGTATTCATGTTGGGAAAAAGTGGTGTGGAAACTGGTCAATCTTTTGTTGCTGACGTTGGAACGAAAATGTCCCTCAAGTACATGATTCACAAGGGTTCACCTCCGCCTTGCAGGAGCTTTCATCCTTGTCCATTTATTTTCTTTTTTCTTGGGCCTTTATATGGAGAAGATTGATTCATTTGTTCTGATAAGATGGAGAAGCGAAAGGCGGTAACATTATTCTTATCGCCGAATCAGCTGATGGGAAGTTGGTTGTGATAAGGAGACCAGTTTATATTGAAGATCATTAACTTTTTACTCAAACATGATATGAGAGATTAACGACGTCAATTAACTGATCTTTAATTGGACTTAACGCCTTGACATCCATGTGGCATGAAATACCATGAATCCATGATGAAAAGTCCGAGTAGTTCTATCTAAACGTCATAGAAGGGAACGTCACCAAGTGAGCATCTGGAAATGTGATAGGTACCTACTGGGTCGGTAGATAGGTATGTAGGAGGGGTGTGAAAAAGTTAGATATGATATACATTTTCATATCCACTAATTTACCACCATCCTTTAAATCTTTCGCTACATCATATAACACAAAAAACCCTCTAATTTCCAACTATCATGCCAACCCCAAAACTACTGAAAACCATAGATGCCACAATGTCAGAGTACCGTACCCCCTTCACCCCTTCTTCCCCCGAAAGGTTATTCGCCCTAGCCAGAGAATCTCGATCATCATGAGCATTTATACCTCCAGAACTAGTCTAATGAGGTGTCAATGCAAGTTTCATCCTCTATAAATCAATTGTCTCACCCCTAAATTCCCCACACTCTATTCAATTCCCTTTGAGTATACTCGCCTCCTTTACCCCTCAATTACCGAGCTTCGAATTCATTGTTCCTTGTAATGGCCGGGAAAGAAGTAAGTGGAGTGGACAATAGGAACGGGAACGGGACAAATCATGTGTATCAGGTACCTAGTATGAGGGTTCCCCGTCCCGTCTTGGCATAAATATTAGATTATATTCATAGTGGTGATGGCCTACTAGATATATATGTATTGAACACCGTGAATGTGATAATTGGACTAATCTAGTGTATTCTCAACCTCTTTGTTTGGGTTTTGTAAGAATTACTTGCAGATTCTCATTTCCTCCCGTGATTAACCTCGAACTAGAGTTCGCTCTGTTCTTATTCTCATCTCTTGTTATTATTGCATACAGTATCAATATTTGGGTCTGCATGCACAAAAGTAATTCACTTCCAGATCAACCTTTAGCACCATGATTTAAAATTCATCAATGTTCATTTATTCGCGTTTATATACGCCCCTCTTCTTCAGAAACTCGCGTACAACTTCCTCTGAGGATTTCTCCTCCCCGTTACTTCTTTCACTCGTGTACCCTCCTTACTCTCACATTTTCATCCTCAACCTCATTCTCGCTTTCTCTAAATCAAATGCTCATCAAACCAAGTCACGGCCTGGATGAAAGCCTGTTCCTTGGCATATTTCTCTACCTTCTTGCTCAAATCACATCTAACCGAGAAACCATGGACGGTTTGACTGTACAAATTGATTTGATAAGTAGCACCGATCTCCTTGAGGATTTCTTCTGATTTGTGACGTTTTTCGGATGGGAAAATTTCATCGGTTTCAGCGGCTGCGATGGAGAAGGGCCCCTTGATTGCGCGGAGTTCCTCTTCTTCGACGAAACTTGGGAGAGTGTTAGTTTGTTACTCGAGAAGTTGGGGTTGAAACCAGAGTATTTTCGGGCATTGGAAGAAATGGAAAGAAGGAAATGAAATAAAAAACGTACGAAGGATGAGCAACATATCCCACATCAATACCCTTTCCTTCAGCCAAAAATCGAGCGACATATTTAGCACCAAAACAGTATCCGACAGCTCCAATCTTGGTGTATCCCTTAGACTTCAAGAATTCAATGGACTTTTGAACGATAGGATCAACTTGTGGAAATGTATGTGGGTTGTTTCCATCAGAACCCTTGGTTAACCACTGCATGATGTCGAAGCCTTCAGGACGATTAAGAGGCATTGGGTCGCCGTTGAAGAGATCGGGGATGATGGTGTAGTAACCGTTGGCGGCGAATTGATCAGCCATCAATTGGGAGTTTTGCCCTGGTTGGGAGAATTCTGATTAGTTGCTTGAAATTGCAATCATTGTGAATATGATGGAGGCAATACATACAGATACCAATAACATCTGGAAGGTAGAGAATGGCAGTATCCTTGTGAACCTTTTCTTTAGGCTCAGCAACATAGGCCTCAATGGTATCAGCAATCTTGATGGTTGATCCAGTTGGTGTACCCCTAAGATAATATTTCCATAAGCTTCACATCCACAGACCCGAACCCCATCGAGAGCTCATCGAGAGAATAAAAACTTACTCGTGCTTAACACCTAGAGTACAGCATCTTTGAGGTGGGTTTGAAGCCATCTTTAATATGTATTGAGGTTTAAAAGGTAAATGGATATTCAAGTGTTGACGTAGGAAGGTAAAAGGGATCAACAAGATTATTGATCAAAAACACAACAGCAACAATCGATACTTATAATAAAAAATTACGCAGGCACGCATACTTCGTAGATCTGGAATGACCAAATCTACCCCTCCACTAGACTCTTTAGGTAGGTAGTGGAGCCGACGGGGCCATTGATGTAAATGCTTATCAAATTCATACTTTACGACTGGGAAGGAAGAGATTATATCCGTGCGATTAACTCCATCGCAATGGTATAATTCCGAAGAAACTCATCGGAGTAATGGATTGCGAGGCTCGCTTTTCGCGGTGGATGCTTGTATAGGAAAGTCATTGCGGAAAGTTGTGATTAATGCGGGAAGGAGTTGTGAGGATCAATGAAGTCATATGATTGGTGATTTGCTATGAGATCCCTAGGTAGCACCGGTAGATAGGTAATGATGGGATTGATGACGATGATGTGTGAGAATAATCGTTCGGATGGTGGGAAAAGCTAGATGCCGGGCAAGCTTTACTAGAGAAGTGTGGATCCGTGATCTAAGTCGAGACTTGATTGGTGAATGTGCAAGCTTGATAGAACATAATGACTAAGCAACGCAATGGAAAAACCATGAGAAAGGTGCTCGCGGTTAATTGCACTTATCGCGTCAAACAAACCCCGATAATATTTCCCGCGCTTAATTTTATCTGATACTGGTGATTTCAATCAAATAGCTTCAAATCCCAATTCCACATCAACAATGGCAGCACCACTTGCGGCCGTCGCTCGAGCGCCCAAAATGGGCCGCAAAGAAGTATTTCTGTACGGTTTTTCCTCAACATTCCGCTACTTACCATTACCATCTGGAAACTGACCCCTCTTCTTACTACAGTCCCAATTTCACGATAACCCTTCTTCGCACACCAAATTCACCACCCTCATTCGCTTCCTTTATCGTACCCCTCAACTTGAACAAATTAGATTTAAGAGATTATTTATGGAATGCATATGGAATTGAGGTTCGAGGAGTACGAAGTTATATCCAAGCGCAAAAATTGAGGGAAGGAAAACCAGGAGCGAAAGTACCAACACCTAGGAAATGGTTCAGGCCGAGGAGTATCAAGAGAATGATGGTGGAGATGGATAGACCGTTTGTGTGGCCTGAAGAACCCAAGGACTTTTCCGAGTACGTTTTGTTTTCGATCTTAGAGGTTTCCTATATCTTTGGCGGGGAAGTGATTGATGTAGTGGGGGAAAGTCGAGGGAACGAATGTTCGAAAGACAATCTTAGAATGAAAATTTGGAATGCACAAAGGCTAATCATACGGTACCTATAGGTGGGATCAAGAAGGAGTCAAGAAACGTCAAGAATACGAACAAGAACTACAAGCAGGCCAATATCCAGATGCCAAACAAAAGCCTAGCAAAGAACGTCTATCAATTGCGGAACAAGCAAGGAAAATCTTGCAAGGAAAGGAGAAATGGGCACCTACGAGAGATACCTGGATGAATGTAGGAGAGGAGGTTGAGGTTGAGACGGATGTGAAGGTTCCTCGTATTGGAAGACGGGAATAGATGAAGGTTTGAGGAAGTGTAAACATTGAACTTTGGAAGAGTATGTATATTGCTATTGCGAGATACATTGTATGAATAATTCATTGAATGGGGTATATGAACATGAAGAATAAAAAAACATCTATACATCAACTCATTGTTCCATCTTTCATTCAGGGTTTCTTTCAACCACACAAATTTCCATTGTTTCCCACTCGCAATCATGTCAAGTCCTTGGGATTGATATCCTCTAAATTTTCGAATGAAGTCGATAGTTGTGCTGTAGCTGATCAGAATATGCTCGGCTCAACTGCCTCACTCAGGTCGTCCAATTTGTACTTTGACGAATTAATATTCTTCACACAGTTCCCCCGCTGATGTCAGCCCGAACATGTTTCCAAATTCGACAATCAATATCTCTCTTCCTTCACTCCCCGTCACTCTTTTCATCCTCCCTATCCTGTTCATCCTTCGCTTTCAGTACCTCATCAGCTATTTTCCCATCATTAAAATCATCACAGCCTTCCTCAACAACCCAAGCCCCGTCATCCTGAAACTTCAAAACTTCATTTCCCCACCCCCACCATCCAGCTGTAAGGTTCCTCGCGAAGATTTCCAAGCCCCTAAAGTCTTCATCGTAACCCTGCAACCCCAATAACTGTCGGAAAAGAAACCTCAGATTAGGTTTTCGTGAGTGTAAATCTGGAACTCCAATTATAATCCTTCGTTTTATGGTAAGATTTGAGTTTTCAAATTGGGATGAAGTTTGTGAGGGTGAGGGTGAGTGTTGATTTGATCCCTCGAGGTCATCTCCTTTCTCAATATTCAATTCCTCATTCCTAACAGACTTCTTGAATCCTGAGTCTCCTCCCTCAACACTCTCCCTCTCGCTCTTCTTCCGTCCCACAAGTAAAATCTCCCATGGTTTCCTCCAAGTCCCTGAAATCTCACACATCGGTTCACCACTCGATGTGACTTTGAGCCAAATCCATTCTTCTACTAATTCAAGACCCCAGTGATCGAACAACCCTCCTTCGTCTAATAACATGGAACGGTAAGTGGGTTTATTAGTTATCCATATTCCAACGTAGCCATTGCGTTCTACCTGATGACATGGTAGGCTGTATTTGGTGGGAAAATTTAGCTTGGGACTTTAAAGGGGATATCTCTCATAGATTCGGATATGAAATGATGATATATATAGATGCAAAAAGATATGTATATCCAAAACGCAATCAGACAAGACAAAATATAAGACCAGAGTGCAATCAAAGCCGAGGGAGAGCTTCGAGAGAAGAACAAGGAACTAGAAACTTACGATCTCAGCAAACTCTCTATTCCTCCGAATCCCGAAGCAGTAACATATGCATCTTTCCGTAAAGCAGATCGATTAGGCCAAGGTGGATCGGCAATTATCACATGGAATTTTGGAAAGTCTTCATGTATTTCTGTATTGAAAGAGAGGACAGTTTCAGGTATATTGCCATATATCATTGTAGATTTGGGTGGCATTGTCCCTGAAATCCCATCTATCTCAACGCGTTTTGGAAGCTTGGCAACGTTTTCAACCTTGATAACGCTTTGTTGAGACATCTCTGCTTCTTCTGGAGCCGATTTTCTCTTTTTTTTCGGTTCCTCTGAATTATGAAAATGTCAGTAAATTTTTCAAACAAAATTAGAATTCACGCAATTCGATAATCATCCTAAATTGAAATGAATTAAAAAAAAAAACAGAAAAATATAAAAACAGCCGTCATAAAACTCACCATCTTCTCCCCAAATTCTCTTTAAACAAACTTTCCCCTCCCATCTCTCATCCCCCATCATCTCATCAAGCGCAAGCTGAACATAACGCTCCAACATCAATTCCTCGATCCTTTTCTCTGGAGCATTTCTAAGAGCTTTGGCAGATTTGGGTTCAAGTGATGGATAGGGCGTATCTATTGGTTTACAGGATATTAACCTCTTCGCAGTCTTCGGACGCGTAGTGTGTTGTTCGGAGGATAGTGATTGAGCATCTTCGATTGATCGTGGGATGTCAATTAAAGTGATAGTTCTGCTGGAATTTTGGTAAAGAATATGTGATGGGAGGTGGGATGTTTGATTACTTGGTAATGTCGACTTGGCCATAATCCTACATAGCTTTTCGCATTTTTGACGCTCCTACATAGATGTGAAATGCGTGTCACGTGATATAATATCAACTCAACCATGCGCGAGATTTATGGTTTTGTATTTGTATTTAACTTCAATTAGTCACAACATCATGATAGCACCATAACTCTATGTAGTAACTTCTGTCCCTTTCGTAGCGAGACGCACCCCTTAGCGAGATAAATTGTACGTACTTCGAATTCAAGCGACTCTAACACAATCGGCCCCTTCCTTAGGGAAAGATACTTCTGCGTGCGTAACAAACTTTCGACTCTTCACTTCCGGCTTTCACTTCTTCTCTATTTGCGCTCTATAGTACCGTACCGTACGGCAAGGTGCGAAACCGGCTTCCTTTTTACACTCTTTCAACTTTTAATTAAGCTACACTTGAGTCATTATACTGGCCGAGTCATGGTTATTGATATTCATTCTCATATTCATGCCTTAATATATAAACGGCTGCTAAACAATCCACCCAACTTTATTCTCACACACGTTCACCTTGTAACATTTTGAACTAAATAGCTTTCTGCTGCTGGGCAATTAAGTGGGTTTGAGCAACCTGTGTTCGAAACGCAGCAAGCATTAGCATAGCTTAAAAGTTTCAATTCCGACTAGGAACACATACCTGAAGAACAACGAGCGACAAAGCTGAAAAGGAGATGAAAGAAGTCGTTACGTCCCGCATAGCGCCTCCCAGCACCCAAATAAGCCAGGAGAACATTACACTTAGAATCAAAGAGGCAACAAGTGCAATCACGAAGAAGTAGCGCTTCATGCCTCCTGAAAATTCTACATTTGCCCCAACAACACACGTGCCATACCCTAGAATGAGCACCATCACGATCAACCATAGAACCCACTTCCAGAGCATGGCTACCAGGGGACTGATATGAAAGGTGCCCTTTTTTTCATCATAACATACAGTACCATAGAGTTTCTCGGTGGTGGTCCTAGATCGTTGGTTTAGTATCTGAAGCTTCTCGCCTTCATCATAGGGGAGTCTTTTGCCATCATGTTGGAGAGTTGGTGATGTTCTGGTCTTGATGAAGTCTGTTAAGAGATCCTGCTCATGCAATCGGAGGCCTTCATAACTGGTTTCAAGAAACGTCTTGCTCTGATTGCCTATTGTCTTGCTTATCATTACCCACCGCTGTGATCTGTTGCTCGGAGCTTCCTTGTGTTCGAAGTGGATGATTGACAGGTCATGTTCTTGTGCTAATGCTGGAAGGTCCACCATTTGAAAGATGTCGTCTTTGATACATTCATCTACGGAGAATATTAAAAAGTGGACGATGTGCTAATGCAAATATTGTAGCTTAAATTATATTCATACCGTATTGACGTAGGAGTCTCGCTGCCTCATCGAACTTCTTGTCGTCATCAAGACTGTTGTCTGTAAGTTTATCCTCTGGAAGAGCATCTTCCAGCTGTTGGAGCTTGCTCCGTATCCGCTCTCGATATCTATGCCGAAGTTTGGGAAATTGAGGTACAAACAGCGGACGATTCGCTTCGACTGTCCGGCCTCTCGCATCCTTGCTGGATGTATTGCAATTATCGACAAACTTGCTATCGTGGTCGAGAGCATGTGAGATATTTGTGGAACTTGAGTGTTGTGGGTCATTTAGGGGTATTTCCGCTGTGGATAAGATGCTGTAAGCACATTCTCTAGTTTTAGGGGTAGTTGGAGATCTGTACGTACCATTGCTATTGTACCCTTCACTAGTAGGTTCTCCACGTTCAATATCGGGTGAGTCAAGATGATTGATTTTGTATCCCATCGTGAGGTATAGTGCACGCAGTAAGGTAAAGGTATCAATGAAGAATAAGTGAGCGAGTCAGCATTAAGAAGGACTTTGTCAGAACCTGGCAGCCTCAGGAATAAACTTCCCCAGCCTCAAACCTGAGAATCGTTGCTAAATAAATGATAGCAGCCCTGGGCGTAAACATAGTAAAGATTATCTCGGCTAATATTGAGGATTGAAATATATGAACCCTTTCATCGCATCAGTGTAACTTTCGAACTATCTCCTTTTCCTCTTTGAGTGTCTTTGAAATTTGGAGCCATAGTATTTCGAGATAAGACCTTTCCATGAGTGCTCCAATTCTTGAAAAGACTTTAAAAGACGCGATTAATCAGAGGGGGGCAGTAGAAGCAACGACTGACAGTGTAAGTAAAACGATCGATAGTATAAGGTTAATCAACCGCACTCTTTTTTATGATTACTACGTAATCCCGGCACAGTTGTTATTCTGTACGGCCTCAAACTACTGACAATGAAGTACTTAATATGTTTTGAAGTTTGATTTGACGGTTGAGCGTTAAGGTAACCTTATCGTTTTTTTTTTTGATGCCCCACAATAGAGCTGGAGGCCTTCCACCGATCACCCTCATTTTGAAGTAGCCTTGAACACTATCAGTGTGACCACTAGGTAATACCAACAAGCTAGATCGATCGAGGCTGATGAATTTCGAAGTTTAGATTTTACGATTAAAATGATGGTAGTTCCTGACTCACATCATGAATTCTGTCTTCATGGAGTGACTTTGAACGCATTGAGGGCCTCCAGTCATGTATATACATAAGGCTCTGAGCGACCTCGTACAGCGGGATATTTTCTTCTTGTTATTGAGATTATATTGATAGCTTCAATAGGTTACTTCTGAGGCATCTAAAGGGCCATTGTCTCCTTTTAACTCGTTGAATCAGTCTTCTGATTGTTGACTTTCAATTTCAATAACCAAAAATTACTTTCGTGCCATTAATCACATCCATACTTGATCACTTCAAAATGCAGGTTCAGGGCTCCCTCTCCTATCCAACGCCAGGTCTCCTTAGAATTCCTTTGGAGCTTCGCACAAAGATCTTCAAATACTGTTTAGGAGGTCGCACTGTGTATAGAGGATTTAATTCTTATACCGATAAAAGAACCTCACTTCTACGAACCTGCCGTCAGATTTGTGATGATGTCAAACATATTATTTTGTCCACTTTTTTGTTCCACTTCGCAAGTACTTTCTTCATGGTCGATACACTTATTGGATTGCCAATATCTATCATCTCTCAAATTCGAAATATTCGTGTTAAAGGATACCCGTTTTCGGTAGCCACGGATTTCGAATGGTCTAGCGAGAGAAATTACGGCGAGAAACGAGGAGTTGAGCAGAAATGCGAGGAGGAAGATGATAAGGTCGAATTGGTTCATAAAAAGAGGGCCTTTGAAGCATTTACCACTTATCCAATGGCATACACTCTTTCATTATTTCCAGGGCTACAACTCAACAAGTTAATAGTTGAAGACGTGCATCATGGTATAGGTCAATACGAGGGATTTTTACCAAATGTTCAGAAATACAACCAAATTCAATCTTTAATTCGGCAGAATGGATGGAGGGAATTACGGTTTTTGACTTCAACAACAGTCTTTGTAAATGGGAATGGTAGATCATATCTAGTCGAACAGCCAGCTGGATGGGATAAAGATATTAAAGAGATGGATGGTACTGGCTCTGGTGCAGAGTGTAAGATGTTTGCTGGTGAGAACTATGGACAGGACGAGGATGAAAATGCGATACGACAGGTCTGGGAGATCGACCCGGATGCCAGATCAGCATGGATAGGGATTCCAAAAGATGAATATCATGGCCCGAAGCAGGATCCCTATCAACAGGTACTCGTCGTCGTGAAACGAGGGAAAGACACTGATTATATGAATGACGGAAGCCATGAGTGTGAGAAATTCGAGGCATTGTTTGATAATATGACTTGGGATGAGATCAAAGAGACCAATTACCGTCCGCCTAAACATTAAACAACTTCTCATCTATCCCTGTGATTTGATATATTACATTAGGATTATTTGACTACGATTGCGTCCGACTCTTCGCCGAAGAAAGGCGGGTCATACGACTATTTATTTGGTACGGACAGTATAATTTGGATAATCAAAATGATGTATATTCATATTCATACTTCAAAATTTAATTGCTTTTACAATCACCTTGTAAATTTAAGTTTTCGCTAAGAAAAGTGTCATTTGATATTGGCCACTTTGGCCGAAACCTAATTCATTAGGGAAGTTGTCCTTCATCCGAACATTGGAGATCACCGATTACAATTCCTTCAAAGCGTCTAAATTCATTTCTCATTTCTTTTCAATCAACCACACAATTTCATCCTCGCATATGTAATCTCTATATTAAGACCCGGGAAAGTTCTCTACCGGGTACCATATGTACCCCGGAATGCCAACAATAAGACGTATGCCCCGCACTGTGGGGTTACAGGGGAGTGACATTCTTGATGGTCTTTTCAGAATGTAACGACATTATTCCCTGCATTTGCCAAAGCTTTTAAATGAAATGGACATGTCCTTATCCGGCACTGTGTCTATACCGTCAGCATGGATGATCAACTAGAAAGAATTTGTCTAGTACCGGTTTATTTACGGGCGACCCCCATTCATCTGAACTTTATTGTCATTACGAGTATAAAATGAACAGATACTCGAAGCTTTTACCTGTAAATAGTCAGAAGAAGTTTCATTTCATAAGTTTCGTTTCATAAGTTTCGACGTTCAATATGTTTTCACCATCACTTCTCCTCGTTTATTCCTCCTTATTTCTTCCCACGCTATGTTCTCCCACTTCCAATAAAAATGGCCTAATAGTCCAAACGACCAGTGGTGAACTTCACGGCTTCATAAATCAGACCACACCACAAGTTCGTCAATTTCTAGGTGTACCATATGCTGAACCTCCTGTCGGAAACTTGCGATTTGCAGCACCACAAACGAAAAGTAAGGGATCCACAATCAACGCTACAACACTCCCTCCTTCGTGCATGCAACTTGCTAGTAATAGTTCGACGATATATACAAATGTTGTGCCTCAATTTTTGATCAATGGAGGACAAAGTGAGGATTGTTTATATTTGAGTATTTGGACTCCTGCTACACCGACAAATCAAAGTCTTCCTGTGTTTGTTTATATACCAGGAGGTGGATTTACAAGTGGTGGACAAGATTCGTTATACAAAATTCCAGATCAATGGGTTCAAAAAACTCAATCCCATATTGTGGTTGTGATGAAGTGAGATTTCCACCACTCTTTCTGTTCTGCTGACATACGTGTGCTAACTATAACCCAAAAGTTACCGTGTAAATATTTTCGGATTTCCAAATGCAAAAGCTATTACGGAGGATCGAAACCCTGGTTTACTTGATCAGAGAAAAGCGTATGTTTATTTAACTCACCTCACATTATTCACTGATTAACAAATCCAGTGTGGAATGGGTTCACGAAAACATTGCCTCCTTTAATGGAGATCCTGATCGAATGACACTCTGGGGTCAATCTGCTGGCGGTGCATCCGTAGATAGTTACGGTTACGCATATCCCAATGATCCTATAGTGAAAGGTCTAATCATCGATTCTGGCTCCGCATATCTTCTCGGTAGTACCGATGCTCCTCAAACAAATTTCACTTCTCTCGCTGGAATGGTCGGATGTAAAGATCTTGCACCAGAGGCAGAAATTGGATGTATGAGAAATGTTTCAGCCAATGCAATTGAAGATGCTTTGAGTGCGTATGTGAGCAGTGGTGCTACTCCCGAACTTGCATTTACACCTTTTCCGGATAATGTTACCGCATTCTCCAACCCTGCGGATAGAGCCGAGAGAGGACTTGTAGCGAAATTGGTAGGGATTTTTCTCTCATCGCCTGATTGTGAAATTCAAGAAAATAGAGCTAATCAGTGTTTCTTGTACAGCCAGTAATCATAGGATCCAATACAAATGAGGGAGCTGGCTTTGTGACCTTCTCTGAAGATGGTCCTGGTGAAGCAGTATTGTATGCAACAACCCAAAGTATAATCGCTTGTCCTGTTGCGCAGGAAGTCAGGTATGTTACTATTGCTTTTTGGTATCCCTCACACAGAATATGCTAACGTAGAATCGACATGAAGAGCTCGAGAGAATGTGGGTTTAACAACATACCGCTACCAATACACTGGTAACTTCACCAACATTTCCCCTCTACCTTGGATGGGCGCTTATCACAGCTGTATGTTCTTTCTTCTCCTCTTATTTCACCTCATCATTTCTATCCTCCCTCCCACTAACAACCTCAGCCGAACTCCCTCTCCTCTTCGACACGCACTTTTTATACCGTAGTAATTCCACTCCGTACGAATACGAAGTTGCGAACACAATGCAAGCACTATGGCTTTCGTTCGCAAATGATCCACAGAAAGCACCATCGACAAATGAGATAACTTGGCCTGTTTATGACAGCGAGCAGGATAGTATGCTTTTATTTGCGGAAGAAGATGTAAAGACGCAATTTGTGAGTGGGGAAAGAATTGATGGGAATTGTACTTTTTGAGAGGAGAGAAGATGAGGATGAAGCGAATGAGGCATGTTTTGATGGAACTTGCATGGAGTTGAGTGGAATTATTTTGACATGGAAATCTGTACGATCACAATACAGTCTGGGATGATTTTAATGTCTACTTTGGATTGAAATAGCATATCTTCAACATTTGAAAGCGAACAAAAAATTTGATCAAGCAAGTAACACATTACAAAGTGATAATATTAAGTGAGGTTCATGAAATTTTATTTCCTGTGTATGCTCATAAACATAATTTTCCTCCAATGATTAACTATATACATCTTCGCTCAACGACATTATCATACATAATACCCGTGCAGACGATGCTGCTTCCCAAACGCCAATATATGCATGCATTACTTAAATCCACTCATTTATCATCCACTGCTCTTGTCCCCTTTTGTTCATATCATATTGGCATATGCTCATTCACCCTTCTTCTCTTTGTATTCCATCATCCCGTGTATGAAGCTAAGCGAAAACTTAAGCGTTCATAATCTCAGGCTTATTTTCATGAGCAGCAGCTCCTCCAGCAGCAGTCTCCGGGAACATTCTCTCGTCATGTTCCAACATTGGTCTTCCAGCCATTTCACTCTTCTTGATATCCTTTCCACCCTTGGTCAAGAACATACGATCAGTATCAACACCATTGACACCTTCGGCACCAAGAGACTTGGGGTCCCAGCTAGCGGATGTCAATGGGTTGACGTGAAGAACGTACATGGTATCGATTTCCTCCAAAGAACGATCCTTGGTCTCGATGACGAAGAAGAATACAATCCAGAAGAGAGCGAAGAGAGAACCGGCGAAGACAAGACCATAGTAATAATCGATATCGTTGGTGATGAAAGTAGTGAAGAAAGAGATAAGGAAGTTGAAGAGCCAGTTAGATGCGGTGGCGAGAGCCATGCAGGAAGCTCTGTAACGGGCTGGGTACAATTCTCCGACAATGGCCCAAACCAATGGTCCCCAAGTGGTAGCGAATCCAACAATGTAGATACAAGTGAAACAGATGAGAACAGCACCAGGAGCTTTGGCCTCGGCTTGTCCTTGAATCTTGAAGTGACCGACGAAGGAGTAGATCAACATACAAACGAACATCTCAGCAGCACCAACCATAAGAGCCTTTCTACGACCACAGTTCTTAACAATCCAGAGACCACCAATGGTAGCAACAACGTTGACGGAACCGAGAATGATAGAAGTAACATAAGAATCAGAGATACCACCGGACTTGAAAATGGTAGTGCCGTAGTAGAAGAAGAAGTTGGCACCAGTCAATTGTTGACCAGCTTGAAGAACCATTCCGAGAAGTGTACGGTACAACATTCTTGGTCCGGTGAAAATCTCGTACCATGGGTGATCACCACCTTCTCTTTCGGCTGCGAGCTTAGTTTCGATTTCGAGAATTTCGGCATCGATGAGTGGGGAGTAAGGGTCGACACCGTTCAGGAGAGCCATGTTTTTACGGGCTTCATCTTCACGTCCAATACGGTATGCGAAACGAGGAGATTCAGGCATGAAGAGGACAGCGGTACCGAGGATGATGGCCCAGAGTGCGGAAAGACCGTTAGGAATACGCCATTGAGCACTGTTGGTGTAGGTAGAGTGAGTTCCGTAGTTGATCTATTTGATACGTTAGTAAATTGTCATTTCCTTTTAATTTAAGAGATTTGACTTACCATATAAGCAGTCCAGATACCAAGAGTAATCAACAATTGATAACTGGAAACGACGGCACCACGAATGTTCTTAGGCACAGACTCAGATTGGTACATAGGAACACTGGTACTCAAAGCACCAATACCCAAACCAGCAGTGAATCTTCCCATGGCGAATTGAACCCAGTGAGTAGTAGAAGTAATTTCGATAATAACACCAATAATGTAAAAGAATGCGGAACTGGAGATAGTGTAACGACGACCGATTTTATCGCAGAGGTAAGAAGATCCAAGACATCCAACGAGAGTACCGGCACAGAGAATAGCGACAATGGTTCCTTGACGGACAGCAGAGAGTTCGCCATTTTCACCAAATCGAGCTAAGAAATCGGACATTTGTACGAAACCTTGAGTCTTTGTTAGAATATTATCGCGTCTTCACTATATTGGAGTGAAAACAAACCTGAAATTTGACCAGATTCATAACCGAACATGAAACCACCAATAGATGCAATAGCACCAAGAGTAATGGCCAACTTAGTGGCTGGAAGGTCATCAAGTGCTTCTTCAGGAGGAGTATCATGATGTTCTGGTGCAGAACCGTTTAAGGATCTAGCGACACGAGGAGTATCGGCTGGTGTATGTGCTGCTGGTGTTCCCTCTGCACTGCTGAGGTTCTTGTCAGAGATAACAGCTGACTCTGTAGTCTCCTTCTTCTTATTGAACAATCCCATGACTGCGGTTCCTTCAACTTCTATTAGAAATATATGCAAGTTAAAATATTGATCAACAACTTTTCTCAAAGGAACAATCGTATAGCCCCAGATAGAATGAGATGTTGAAGAGTTAAAGACGCGGAGAATGGAGAGAGGGGGATATGGGGATGATGATGATTTTATATAAAAACAAACAATCGGAAATGGCAACAGATGTGAGTGGAGCACGACTCCGTCAAAATATCTTATTAGGGGGCCCCGAGGTGATGCCTCCATGATTTAGCCCACAATCCCATCATTTTGTCATGCGGACCAGATAGAGATTGGAAAAATGACTCTAGCCCCCAAATTGGGGAAGCTAGTCAAAGAGGTCTCAAGACATTACAAGATTTTTCTTTAAGATGGAGAATGTTACCAAAAGAATGTGCGGTGTTGGGTGGAGTGAAGAAAATAGAGACCTAGTCAAAGTGTTCAACATTAGCCATAGCTCCCCGTCCCGCTAGTCAGCACATTGTCAGTGGTCACGACAGAGTAGGGTATTGCTTGTACAGCATCGGGTTTTTAGAATTTAGGAAAATAGACGATTGTAAACCGTGATTGGCATGATGGCCAAAATGGCCGAGAGTCAAATAGTTTGAATATCGAATCCAACCAATATGAAGAAAATCGGGTCCATCTTAAAGTGACGACCGCGATAGCACCGAGTACTAAAGAAAGGAGCGTTTAATCCCTTGTTGTGGGATGATTTGTGAAATTGTGAAATCTGATTGACGTATGTTTGATTCATGTTCATTTCTATGTGGCACTTTGATCCTAGATTATCCGTTTCGTGTTGTTGTTGAAGCATAATGAAGGATTTCCTCACCTATCATGACTTCTGAAATGCCGTCTGAGATATCAACACACAGATATGAGGTCGGAGCATTATGATGATTTGCCGTTTTCACTTGCCCATTTTTGGACTAGACATGTCGATTGAGTGGATATTGAGGCTCAAGGCTTGTCCTTTCGGATACCATGATCCCCACTTCACTTGGAACGGCTTAATTCCTGGACCCATAAAAACAAGTAAAGCCTATGAAAATTGAAGGAAAAAAAACAAGGTTCCACGAGTTTGCGGCGGGAACGAAGCGGCAGTCGAGAAAGGTAAAGCCAAGCATCTGTAATCCGACAAGCGAGTGAAAAAAAAAGATTAGATTTGCATGGCATAAGGATCTTGAATTGGCGCCCGTCATCCAAGACTGCATCCTTTGAGAGGGCTGCGTGTCATGCGTATATCGCGTGTTTCTTGATTTTGTTTTGGTTTCTAGAGCCGAGCGGATGAAAAGGATAGAGTAGTTTCGAAGTAGAATCCGGTTATTGAGTTTTCCCAATTAGCCGTATAATTCCTTTCTCTTATCAGTACCTCCCGAGGACTAACCGATTGAGACGCTCATCTATTTCCCAGAATAGTACAGATATCATCCAGATAAAAATAAGGCGAACTTCGTTTTTTGAATTGTTTGGTGAAACCCACATCAAAAAGGTCATATTTCGGTTTTATTTCAACGACAACCCATTCAAAACTCCACCTCGTGGATATTCTCTCGGCCATACTTTCATCTCTAAAGATCAATCATGTAACGCATAAACATGTTACCAGTATGAAATCTCTAGACAGTGTACGGATACATACGTAATAATCATCAAGGAATTCAAGAAATTTGGCCGAAATGTGTTGTTCGATGGAATTCTTTTCTTCTTTTTGTGGTACCACGACGACAGATGTACCACATCGTCGCCCATGGGACCTCCTCATTTTCTCCCAACTTTGGGTTAATTTTACCCATGGGACACGAGAAATGGAGTATGCAGTTTGGGGTGTACACTGTACTCCGTACAATCTGGATTCTCGGGGCCCCCCCTTTTTGATACTTTTGATGCAGATGGTGCCGTTATGCCGGTGGGTGGTAGTGGACGACAATGACGATATACATTTCGGGGTTTTGCTTCAAAGTTGATGAATGAGGAGATTCTCGGAATCACCCCACCGATGATTAATTCATATCACGTGAGGTCTTCGAAACCGAGTCATGTCCCTTGTGAAAACTTTTTCTTTTTTGCCTCCCTTGCGTGAAAATCTATTCGCGAATGCATCTCGAAAATTCATTCAGATGGAATTTTATACCTAGGTAGTCAAAGAGACGTCTTAAGATCGAAGGACTAAGGTTATCATTCGGTTATCCCGTATACTTTGTTTGAAATATGGTCCCAAGCTCTACGACGTCTACATACGATAAAAATAGGCCGTAGCTGACAATTAGCGAAAATTATTAACGATTGAATTATTGCCTTCAAATTCATATAAAATGATATTTCGAAAGATGATCGAAATAAAGACATAGTAGCATATTATTGCCATCATGAAATATGTCTACTTCATTTGTGATTGGATTTTGGTAGAATTCAATTACTGATATCAAATTGATCAAACCTGGCGTGTTTTTCTCCTATGAAGAGCCAAGCCAACAAAGCCACACAACTATTGCCCTGACTATCAATCCTTAGTTGCCATTCAAGTTCCATGCTAAGATCATTAAATCGTTCTAGAAAACACCAAGAGTCTGGTTCTTGGACCCTTGGAAGTTGGCGGTGAGTTTTAGAATTTTGCATGATTTCTTGGAGTTCTTGTATCCTTCAGTGCGTATAGTCGTTCGAGTTTTTCAAAATCAAAGTCATATCACGAATAGTAAAGGAAAAAGGGAAAGAGATTTTGACTGGCATTGAACATTGATTGGAAATATTGAGTCTTCTTTTGTAATGTAATTTCCTTTAGTAAGGTCTGCGCTAAAATCATTGTCATTATTATCATCATCTCCTCCATTACCTCCGATTATTATCATCCTCGACGCTCGTAGATTTATGGGTTATTTACCACATTTATAACAAATAACTATTATGCCTCTTTCGCATTGTTGTATCCATTCTGTGAGCTTGATGGGATATTCGGTATAATGTATCAATTTGACGAAATAGAAAAATGGGTTCCGATGTTGAAACCATTGAAAAGGGGTTTGAATAAGTGTGAAATGTGAAGGTAACCCTTTTCTTCAACCATACACCGCAGTTTCGGCTTTGAATATGTTAATCGGTCTAATACTTCGTATCCTTATGGACTTTCTGATATAAAGGCTCCACTCGGAATGTATAAGTGAAGCTAATTAGGGTTGTCAACTAAGCTTAAAAGGATAGATGAAAGACTACTGTCAGTCTTCCATTGAAGTACAAATTTCAATTGCCCATCATAGCCTCCTGTAATTTTTTGACAATGAAGTGAGCTCGTCGAAATGGGAATATGAACAATACAGCAAAGGGGTAGACGACATACTTCCAGGCTATGAGATTGAGGATATATCAATTGTTTTAATGATAGATCCTACCAATCAATTCAGTTTGTATTGAAAGTTTGATACATCTTTACGCATTAGAAATGAATCTTATTATCATGTATTGTAGTTGGAAAATAGTATTCAATAGATAAAGAATAATGTGTTGGGTTATTTTGTACTGATCGTTCTTGCCTTCACGCGAATCACCGTCAACGTCTTTGTACCTTCACTCACCTCACCCTTCCTATTCGTCACGCCGCCATTGAACACTTCACCCCCAACGTTAATATTCTCAAGATAAAAACAATTATAGATCGAAGATGTCGGATCCATTGAGATCTTCATCTGTTCCTTCTCTTTCTACTCGTTCTGCATTCTCTAGACGTCGATTTGTTACTCTTCAATTGACTGATGTTCCATCACCCGGTTTTTCATCAATACCACCTCTATCAACTGGAGCTTCGACAGTTACTTCTTTATCGGTTGGACCTTTATCCGTTGGATCATTACCAGTTGAACTTCCACTTCCATCAATCGAACTACCATCAGCTGAACTTCCATCAATTGAATTTCCATCAATTGAGCCTTCACCAGCCGAACCTTCATCAAAAATATCGTCATCAGGTAGATTTCCATTCCCTGAATCTTCATTAGCTACATCCACATCACTCGAACCTCGATTACTTGAACCTCGATTATTTGGAACCCGGTTAAATGGTGCTCCCATAGCTGGTCCTGATTACCAAGTATCAAATGGATCAAACCCTGAAGTATATCACATTGATGTCAAAACATTCCCAACTACTTCTCCACGTATTGTCTTTAATTTGCCAGCTCTCGGATACGATGCTTCCGATATAATTGCTGTCATTGGAAAAGTGCGGGGCTTGGGCGACTTTGATAGTGATGCTTGCCACCGCTGTGCTAAAACTTGGGAGATGTGCACAACACCATCTACCCTCAAGATTTTTTCTGAAGGCACGGAAGGTGTCTTGGGTACCCATGTTACTTTAATTTTGAAATCGAAAGAACCTACTGGTCTTTGTGCAGTCATTGGACGAACTCAAGATTTTCTTCTAGGAGAGTTAGGTACATCGGATCATGCTCTCATTGTGAGTTCGTATGTTTCGACTATGATAAATAGACTAAGTGATTTCACTGGGTGTTTAGAGGGTTTGGAAAATGACGTACAATGTAATATGGTGTTTATAAAGTGTCCTCGGGGTTGCAATTCGGAAGAATCTAAAAGATCTCGTTATGCCTGTGCTTTCGGAGTGTGTCATGGTCTGTTTGAGCTTCCATTTCATGGACTCGAAGGAGATCTTCCCAAAATAAGGGCAGAGATTAATATGGGATTCTGGAGAACCTGGAGCGAAAGAGCTTATTGTGTTTCTTCTATCGAGAGGGAAGACTGTGGCTTACTAATGGTAGCTACAAATAACGGGACAAATGGTAATCTCAAAGCAATATCTGCAGTTATGACTCATCCAATTGATGTGAATCCAATTCAAGAAGCTTTGAAAAAGATTAAAGACGATGGAGGAAATTTGATACAAGTTTTCGCAACGGTCAACCCAAACAAAAGGGGGGCCGGTGGCGTTCATTTTTCCAATCAACAAATCAACTCTGCTTTTCATGCCATGAATAACGATCCTAACATGTCAGGAGATCAGCACGTTAGAGCAGCTGTAGGAGGTCAACTTGCAGCATTGTGTGTAAATACGAATATTTACGTGTCTGGTGGCGGAGATGGACAAGGACCATGGGGAGGTGGAAATTTATGCTTCATATACAAGGTTGATCCACCGATTAATGAGATACCGGAAGCTTGGATGAATCTAGACATCGAATTTGACCTGGATGAAGCCGAGATGAATGCTTTGACTGTACCTGAAGTCAATAGTGAGCAGAATACTATGGCTATACCTGGAGTCAATGATGAGCAGAATACTATGGCCATTCCTCAGGTCAATAGTGAGCTGAATAATACGGCTGCTTCTGAAGTCGATATTGGACTAAATACTATGGCTATCCCTCAAGTCTATAGTGAGCCGAATACTACACCTGAACCCGAAGTCAATGATGGTTCAAATATCACGACTATATCTGAAGTCAGTAGTGAGCCAAAACGAAAGAGGCCTCGATTGGAATAAAACACGAAATTAACTTCTTTACACAAAGTAAATTGTTGTAGTTGTCAAAAAGGATGGAGTGGAGTATCGGAGTAATAAATTGTGGTTGGTTGGTTTGGTTTCATTATTGGAGAGCTGCTTTAATTATTAAATAGCATAGCGGAACGAGTATTAGAGTAGAATACCGCAGGAGGCATTTTTGTGTATTACTAGGGTATTGAATCAATTCTCAAACTGCGCTAATCTTGAATAAGAAAGTCATTTGCTCCCCGGAGTTGATGGAAAATATATAACTCTTCCTGTCTTGTGATGAGTCTGACGATTATGATAGTTGACTCTGTAATGCCCCTATTATACTCGTCAATCTGCAAATGTTGATTCTTTACAGATTTTAGAAAGAGTGAGAGTGTGTCAAAATCACGAGCTTAAGAACGGATAATAAATTATGTTTCATGTTGAAGAATTAGCGAAGTCGAAAAGGGGCCATGAGACTTTTTTCTAATAGTGTTATCGTCTGGAGAAATCAACAGTGAGAGAGAACGGGACTTAGAAGAATTTATAATCAGATTTAAATGTTAAGATGTAACAGGTGCTTTCGAAAGTTACAGACGTAGGGATCGGGCGATATTCATTCACTAAACCACGGAACGAAAAACACAAAAAGGCATACCAAGCACCGGAAAGAAAATAGAATTTTCAGACAACAATACTTATTTTATTATCGGTATGTTAATGTACAAGAAAATTATATATAATCGCCACAAATCATATCACATCGTATCATTAACCCCATCCCACCAATTTCAACAACTATCGTACAAAAAATTCATTATATCTTTTCCAGACTCAAAGACTTATCTTATCCATTTAACCAGCTTGGTACATGGCCAAAGCAGCCACATGTGGGTTGACATTTGACAAATTAAAAGCAGTATAAGTTTGATTTGTATCCGTCAAAGCCAAAAACATGGTACCGTTGATGGCTGGATCGCCCTCATAAGTAGAAACATCTGGTTGGATCGTCATAGCATAGTTCACGCCATTTGCTGATGAAACATTCATGAGAGGTGAATATGTAACATTCAATTGGGAAACCCACATTGCCCATGATGGTGTACCAGCACTGGTCGAAGTGACGTAAGAGTTGTTTGGTCCAACGGCTTGACCAGGGTTATCCCATTGAAGGTAAACCTCACGACCTGGGTATGAGAGAGGAATAGATCGGTTTTGGGAAATAGATGCTGAACAATCAAATCCAGTGACGTTATTACCAACGCATGAATCGATTGGTGCTAACTTTGAGTCACTTGGTGCGGCAGGACCAAATCCAGCAGTCTCGTTGAAACCAGTTTGTGTAGCATTACGACGAGCAATGTTTGGTTGGTTAAGAATGGTAAGTTGTGGGAAGTTTTGCCAAACAAGACGCTTGGAGTCGGCTGGGCATGAAGAAATATATGGTGCGAGAAGAGTCCATGCCCAAGATTGTGGGATACCAGTTTCAAACCAAACTGGCATAGGGAAGAGACCAGCAAATTGACGGAAGATCATCTGTTGACGAGCTTCAGTTGCAATGGATTGATCAAGAAGTTGTGCAACTTCACGTGAATCAAGATGAGCTTGGAAACCCCATACTCCAGATTCTCCGTATCTCGTGAGCTTTTGAGTAAAGTCAAATGCTTCAGTAACGGTAGTGAAAGGATAATTGTATGTGCATTGTGGGGTTGCTCCACCTGGCCCTCCAAGTAAATTCGAAAGCAAAGTAGCATGGCCAGCTTCTTGATCGGCCATAAATTCGATGAGGAATCTATCGCTAGGTGTGAGACCAGCAGCCGTAAATTCTTCTTCGGAGAATGTGGCAAGAATATTATGGAAGAGATCGAGTTCAATCCACTCTTGATAAAGACCCAAGAGAATTGATTGATAATCGAAATCAGATTGGACACGATAGACTGGTTCAGTGCCATTTGTTCCTAGACCACCGGCTGGTTGGTATGGAATTGGTTGTGGCTCGTGAAGTGTACCATCAGGTACATATGTTGTTTCTGCTTTTCTGGCTGGCAAGATTGGTACCTCACTAGCTAATGCGATGGTACTTAAAGCTCCAGTGGTGGTAGGTGTACCACTGTATGGGCCATGACTTGTGACACCTGTAACTTCAGGACTGACAACAGGCGGAACTGGAGCAGTGGCACCTGGAATTTCTGATGCTGGAATTCCAGCAATTGAAGCGACTGATGAAACTGCTGCACTGTTTACAGATGGCTGTTGATTGTAGGAATAGGCGCCGAATGGTGAGACAGAACCGGAAGCTGCTGGAGAGCCGGTGGCAGCTTGGATTTGACCATCACTGATTTGACTGATAGAAGCTGGAACAGCTGCGACCGCTGCAATGAAGCTAGCGGTGATGCCTGCCTGATAAAACATTTTTAAAAGTTCAATGTAAATGAACAAGTAAAAGGCAAGGAAATGTTGCTTGAAGGAAACAAAAATTCAATGAAAACAAGAGATTGATATAGAAATTCGATTGCCACGGGAAAGCTAAGGAGCTTCATGACGCTTGTCATAGAAAGCTCTTGTGGAACTATGAAGTAATGGAAAATAACAAATACATCTTAGCGTGTCACAATCATAACTGTTGATTGGTTCCAAGAAAAGCAGTTTTCATAAATCGTGGAAATAATATCAAATCCTCAATGTCATCCTTTACGTCAACACATTAAATGGAGAAAAGCTGGAGAAAGCGGTTTGGTACATGTGGTAGTACGCAACCGGTGGGAAGCCATAATATCGGTACCGGCATCTAAATCTTGGTTATGGGAAAAGACCTTAAAATGTGGAAATGCATCGGGATTAAAGATTGTGTAACAATGATTCGATTGATTGATGCAGGAGATTTACTCCGCCCTTGACTGAGAGGGAGGAAATTGACTGGTTGCGCCAGGAACCAGGAACGGTCAACAAAGCCCTTCGAGGAGTAAATGTTCCGCCTACATAAAATATTAGCAAAGTGATTCAGTCGATCAAAGTTTACATATCAGAAAAATGCAGACATAGAGGTTCGTCTCAAGTTGTGTGGGTATTGGGAAAGCTACCGTGCTCCATTCTGTATGAAGAAAGCTAAGAAAGTTAGAATTTGGGATTCGACATTAACGTCATAGCTACTCGTATTATCTCCTATAAATTTTTAGTGATTCTATGAGAGTGTATTCAAGACTCAAGTGCTTCCGTTGTGCCCGTGGGTCGCAATATCTCACAGTCTTAACAAATAATTAACCCCAGAGTCCTCATTCTATTTTGGATCTAACGGCTGTGCGATAGATAGTGTCGAATTAGTTTCCTTTATCTATCAAAACAAATCATGAAGCTAGATCCCTCATCGAGATACGACTAGATACTCCGTATCATATCGCGCTAATCGGTGACATATCGATTCTCGTTTTCGGATCTGACATTTGTTTTTTTGGCAAGCAATTTGCAATTATTTGTGCATATTTTTCTCTACTGGTAGTCTGGTACTCGGATCAAAAATTCTGTGTATGAGTTCTCAGTACAAGTTAGTGAGCCAGTAAGCCAGTGAGCCAGTGAGCCAGTATAGATTCTATTGAAAGTCGATCGATGTGGCGAATTCCGAACGTCGAATTTTGTCCGATGTTATGAATTTATGATGAGATGAAATTGTCCCTTGTAGATGATCAGCACAGGGAATTCAAATCTGGTTTTGTCAAATCCCATTTATTCCATAAATACCATAACATCAGCCGAACTTGTGGTCGATGACGCTTTGAAGTTGATTGTTGAAAGGAAATCACAGCCGATAACGCTGCTTTCTTGGAGATCTGCAAAAGACTGTGCAAAAGACTTGACTATGGGAGGAAGATCTAGCAACACTGTCGTTGTACTCGACTAGAGAATGAAGAGTGGAATAGTAGAGAACAAAAAGATTGTCGTCAATGTTGACTTGAGAATCAATAGAGATCTTTGAAGTTGTATTCGTGATGAATGTTATGTTTCGCAAGTCCTGGCATACCGAATTGATTAGGTGATGGAAAGCTGGAGAGGTCGTTTTAGCCGAAGATAACCCGTCCCCATCATTAGAGTCAAGTATGAGACGACGATAATAATATTAATTTCTATGAACATCTCGCCATTTCCACTTTCGAAAATATATCGATTTCCTTGTGTACCACATGAAATTAACTCCAAATCTTCTTTTTCGTCCTTCACTCCTCAAAATGGCACTTCATCCTCCACCAAATAACGCCAAACTCATTTGTAAGTTCTATCAAAACCCTCCATAACTATCCACCCATATATCTAATCAAGAGTCATCCCACAGTCGCACCCGCCAACGACAAAACCAATGCTCAAGCAGATCAATTCGTAAAAGGCGCACTCGATCGTAAAGATCTCGATTCCAATCCTCTTACACAATTTCATTCCTGGTTTTCTCACGCACAAAAAAATGGTGTTTACCATCCAGAAACCGTTTGTCTATCAACTGCCAGTTTACCTTCCGGTCGCGTATCAGCACGTATGGTATACTTGAAAGAATTAGATGCAAAAGGAGGATTTGTTATATATAGCAATTGGGGCACAAGTAGAAAGGCGAAAGATATTGCCGAAAATAAATGGGCAAGTCTCACATTTTGGTGGCAAGAATTGGAGAGACAAGTTAGAGTTGAGGGAAAGGTAGAGAGGTTACCTGATGAGGAAAGTCAGGTTTATTATGATTTGAGGGCGAGGGGTAGTAGGATTGGTGCTTGGGCTAGTCCGCAGAGTCAGGTTTTGAAGGGGAGAGAGGAATTGGAGGAGAGAGTTAAGGAGGTTGAGAAGAGATTCGAGGGTCAGGAAAAGATACCAGTACCGGAATTTTGGGGAGGGTTAAGAATCGTACCGGAAATGGTAGAATTCTGGCAAGGGAGAGATAGTAGGTTACATGATCGATTTCAATATGAGAAAAAAGAGGATGGAGAATGGGATATTCAAAGGTTGAGTCCATGAGTAGGGGAAATCAGAGATGTAAGAATAAGATTTGTATAACACAACTCAATGGAAGTATTAATTTGCTGCTGACTATAGAACTTTAGGATGATTGTATGATGATTGTGTGCTTTTTTTCCTCTTCTCCTTTTTGAAATTTGGGCATCACATAGTATTATCGTTCATTTCCACAGAAAGTTCTGTGAGCGATATCAAGCATCACTCCTTGTGCATATTCACGTCACCGTTTGCAGGTTGAGAATCTACATTATGATAACATTTAATTCACCGCTTGTCACATACGACCATAGACTGAAGAGAATTGGGCATCCCGTCCGCTCTGCCATACACAAGCTTCAGATCGGTGGATTAGTAGTTGGGTGGGTGACCACCAGCGAATCCCCACTGTTGTATGTTTTTGTCTTTTTGTTTCTTTTTGCCATCTCACCATCACGTTTGGTTGAATTTTATATCTTGTTTTGCTACAGAAAATAATTAATCTCTGTCTTCCAAAATCATGACATTTATATATATCCCGATAGTTACATCGATTGTTCCGATAAGTAACATTATACTATTCACTGCCCTTGAGATAACTGATGGCAATCTCGCCGCCTTCATTTCCACTGACAAAGTCCCATAAAATGCCCGTCATCATCAACTATACAATTGTTCTCACAGATTCCACAGAATTCATTAGTCAATAGGACTTTGCCAATGTAAGTCGGTTTGAAGTTAGAGTTTATATATACAATTTTCCACTTGGACAACTACAACAAGAAAACTATCCACAGGATATTGCATGCAAATTAAACCAGATTGAGTGTAAAGATCTTCGTCAATCAAGTTTCAGGAGATTAATACTACGATGAGGAAGGCGACACTACATGCAGTGCATAATAAGCCATAAATAAAAGTACAAATAGGTAGACTCGATTGGTTCGGGCTATATGGACTCTCGGGATTCGAAACCACGATTTGAAAAAATAAAACCAGTTATCCATAGAATGGGAAATCGAAAACTTGATAGAGGAATACTAGTAGATGTGTATTGTACAATGAGGGAAACGGTATTCGGGAAACGGTATTCGGGAAACGGTATTCGGAATACCCATCATGTCTAAGTGCGGGCCGGGTAGATTTAATCATGTGATCTCCATCATCTCCCGTTTCCGTCCCGTATACAGACTTTCGGTTGAAGCGGGTGTGTATGGTAGATTCAGGAAATTGAGTATTCCGTCTGCTCTGCCATCAACTCTAGGTAGTAGAGAGATTCTTTTCTATTCGTCCTCACTTGCAATGAATCAGACACAGAGCCTCGAAACGAGAAAACCGAGGAAATACAATGATCAATTCGTGGCTGGTCTTTCTAATATTCCTTTAACTGCTTCTTCCTCCCAAAATTCGGAGCTTAAATAAACTATATCAAGCAACTTCTAAAAACAATAGAACATCCGAGAAACATTCCAAACATAATTGCATCATCTCAGACCTGTTGAATCTCACAATTTTATACTTCAAATTCCACCCCTTCACTTTCATAATCCTCTCTCAAAACATTGGCTTCTGTCTTCTTTGCTTCTTCCCTATCCCCAACCAAAACATGCATCCAATAACCCTTTGCTTTCACCACATACTTCTCTCCACCCTTTAATACAACTTCTGGAGCTCTTATCTCAATCTCCTTTGTTTCTTCAGCCCCCGCAGCGATAGTAATTATATCATCATCCGAAAATACACCTTCTCGCGGCATCTTTCGATTAAGTTTTAAACCTAAACATGGTGCCAAATCTCCCGTGGCCAACGACTTGAATTCAAAAATTCCCATAGGAACAGCTCGTAAGTCAAAAGGAGTAGACCATCTGAGAAAGGATACAGCTTTATCTGATGGGTTACTTAGTGTAACTTTCAACTTGACGATTGGTGAATTTTGTGACTCGCTGTCGATTGTAGTGATATCCGAGATTGAGATTTGAATGGGAACATCGTGTTGATTTGTCGAGGCTGATTCCATTTTGATGAATAAGCCGCAAAGTATGAGAGCGACAAGTGCAATGATAAGCTTTGGATTTATTGGGAATCTGCGATGAGATGGAGAAATCGGATATTGTTCACGACGATGTAACATTTCGCAAACTTTCTTTTTCCGTAAGTGTGAGAAATGGGATGCTCAGAGAAATGAAGAAATGTCTCTTTGTTTGGCAAAAGCCAAGATAGACTATCTCAATCTAGAAGGTCGAATTTAAAGTGTGGGGTTGTTCCCGCATCCGCCACAACTTTATACGAACGGCAGTTTCTTATCAAGATCAAGAGTGATCAATGTTGATGTTGTGCATTGCGGGATGATTTATTGGTTATTTTCCGTTTGGAGTGGATTTTTCTTCTTGTTTAGTGACGAGCGAGGGACCATGATTTACAAGAGCCTGGACGGATGAGGAAACTCGAGATCCGGATAAATGACTGAAGTTCTTAATCACGAGGATACATTATCAATCCAATGGAATCCCGAGTCCGAGAACTTCAAACACTCGAGAACTTTACTCTCCATTGGTTTACCCATCTTTGATTCTTTCCTATCCTTGTACACTCTCATCTTATATCACGATTTATGGCCGCCGAAAATTCATTACCACATCGTCACTCAATGGTTGAGGCTTTGATTGAGGATCATGTCTCTTTATAGAAGGTGAATGTGAGCCAACAAATATATAAAGACATCCGCCAAGCCCATTTCTTCATTGAAGCCAAGATACACATTGTCTTGGTCTTCTTGGTCTTTTCAATTTTTTGGGCAGTGAATGGTAAATCAATTGCCAAAAGTAGGTATTCAAAAGTTCAACTCCCGATGCCTAATACCTCACCTTCACTTGGCACTCAAATACTACTCGAGCTACTTTCAACGTTCTCTAATGAAACTGCATAATCTTACAAGATAATGATAGAAAACTTGTTGATCGATTTCAAACTGCTTGGCCGCAGTATCCCAAGCGCCCGCATATCGCCAAAAGCTTCTAACATAGGATATCTTGGCCTGATATCTATCAATGTTTTCTTTAGCTTCCTATCTCGGTTAAAAACTTCATACATCTTGACAACAACGACAATTGGATTCACGATACTTGAGCTCACTAATCATAACTTTGAAAAATACTTCCAATCATTCATTACCATGAAATCGTATTCGGAGACAATCACATGGATTATGACTGGAATCATATTCTTCATTATCACAGGGAAGGTTCAGAAAGTCAGTGTAGTTCACCGATGAGGCAGGCAGATTCGAATTTCGGCCGAGAATTTATGTGAAATGACGATCTATTGAAGACAATGGATGAGTTATTCTTATCAGTTACTCCTACCTTCCATTTATGACTACAAAAATCTATGTACCGTATTCTGCGACGGGAGAAGTCTTCCGAATTCAAAAGTTCGAAAAAGAACGACGGTTAGTCTTGGAAGTATCTATATATGAAGGGTCAATTCCCTTCAAATCCAAGTATCTCATCATCATCTTCAGCAACTCAAGCCTCTGAACAGATAGCATCATTTCTCATCCCTTCTTATCCTTATATTCACTTCAACATGCGCGCTTTCTCCAAGATTTTGGCAATTGCCAGTTTGGCTGCCATCGCTAACTCTGCGGCTGTCAAGAGGCAAGTTTTAATTTTCCAATTTTTAATTCCAGTTTCCAATTTCCATTCTCTGGATTTCCGTTCAGCAAGGAATCGTCACATACATCGAATTCATGTTGTAATTTGATCTCTTTGGAGAATTTCATTTGGGGATATTCACTTCATCTGGGATAGCAACTTAAAACATTAACATGCCACATTACGGATATTCAAATCTCTCGAATGTTCCAAGTCTTGATTTACCATAAAAAACTCAAACTAACAAAGTTTCTAGAGATAACAATGTCCTTGAAGTCACTTTGGCTGCTGGTGATAATGCTTTAGTTCATGCTTCTGTTAAGAATGTTGGAACTGAAGACTTGAACCTTTTGAGCTATGGAACTCTCTTCGACACTGCTCCAGTTCAAAAGGTCAACGTTTATGAAGGCGGTGAGTTCTAGTATTTCTGGTTTCTCGAATACAGTTCACGGATAACTATTCGACATTCCATGTCTTATGCTTCAGAGATCAATAGCTAATGTAAAATAGAAACTGCCGTCCCATTCAAAGGAGTTCTTCGTTCCATTCAACGTACAGACTTAGCCCCAGAGGTTTTCCACACTCTTGCAGCAGGTGAAACCTTTGAGACTACTTTCAACGCAGCCGAAGTTCACGATCTTTCTACCTCAACCTACACTTTCGTAGCTGAAGGTGCCATTCCATTTGCCAAAGTTGGATCCACCGAAATCAGTGATTCCATTATCTTCAAGTCCAATGCTATCACTGTTTCCATCGATGGTGAAGCCGCTAAATCCGTCGCAAAGGCTATCCCAACTTCCATCGACCGTAGAACTGTCCTCCAATCCGGTTGTTCCACAACTCAAAAATCTCAAACCACTCAAGCACTTTCCTACTGTGCTTCTCTTGCAAAAGCAGCTTCCACAGCTGCATCATCAGGCTCCTCTACCAAGTTCAGCGAGTACTTCAAGACAACCTCTGCTAGCACCCGCTCTGTCGTAGCAGCTCGTCTCAGCGCCGTCGCTACTCAATGTGGTTCCATCACCTCTGGTGCTACTAAATATTACTGCACTGATGTATACGGATACTGTGAATCCAACGTTCTCGCCTACACTATCCCATCCACCAACGAAATTGTCAACTGTCCTATCTATTACTCTGCTCTTCCAGCGCTTTCAAGCACTTGCCATGCACAAGATAGAGCTACAACCAGTTTACACGAGTTCACTCACGCACCTGCTACTTATAGCCCAGGAACTGCTGATAACGGTTACGGATATGCAGCTGCTACTGCTTTGACCAGTGCAAGAGCTGTCTTGAACGCTGATAGTTACGCTCTTTATGCCAATGGTATGTTTTTTATCCTTTGACTTTGTAAAACATTATGTATTTGAATTGTTGCTAATTATTGAAATAGCTATCTACGTCGGATGTTAAATCAGAAATGATATGAACATCTTTAATGGCTTTGATATTCAAAAGACCGTTCAAATATCAAGCTGTTATGTTTCATGATGGATGTGATGATGATTCTTTGACGAAGTTTCTTATTGGTGATTGGGATGGACATGAGATTATACATATATATTCTAGCTTTAGTTAAATTTATATACCTCATTCGTTAACAACTGTTCATGATCTCGGCTTTGATAGATCTTGTTTTTCAACCGTTGTGGTACATTGTAAATTGTGATAGATGTGACTGAACCTCTAGAGGGAGTAGATTCGGGTAAAGCAGTTGATCGAGGTTACGATTAAAAGTTAGCACTTTTAAAAGAGGCGAGAATATTTTCTACCAGAGGTACGTTATATGGGAACGACGTATCTACCTTCGTTAATTAAGGAGACAAGCGAGGAAAGAGAAATCACATCAATCTAGGTCTGGGGAAATTTTAAAGCTGTACATTTCAAATAGAATTGAGCAAGATATCATAACTCCACGTTCCACAAAACTCTATTGCCGAAAAACTCTAGGTTTCATCACATCTTTGAAGTCTTGAAGTGTAAGTATGTACGATCACGTGTTTACCAGACAACACATTAGAAGTATATAGCACATGACCACTCAGATAACCAAGCACTCAGTATTACTCTAAAAGCAGTGGCTCTGTGAGTGATAAATTAATCCACCAATGGTAGTTAGCATACATAGCCTCAACAATCACCTCGAACTACTTCTTCAATCTCAAAACTAGTCAACGTAAGCTTGCTGTCTTGAAAGCCACGCGCAAATGTAACGTTTCTGGGTCGACATGTTGATTGTGGGAATAGATAAACAGGTCAGCGGCAGCACGGCTCAATGCACCAAGCCTGCTATAGGGAATGGAATAAAGTACTGCACTCACCGTAAGTGTGAAATTACAGCTTTTCGTAGTTCCCTATTCAAAACTCCGCCTTCGATACTGATCAAGAGATAGATAAATGTCATGAACAGAATTGCAAAAAACTGACATCTGCTAAAATACCATGGTGTTCAGAGCGTAAGTATTCACTTTCTGTCAAGTCAAGATAGAATACAAGACTGATTCATTTACCCCAGATTCTGAATGCATCAAACCAACCTGTCATTCCTTGAGATTTCGCAACACGATGACTTGTACCGCACACAAATGTCAAGATCCTGCATGTAGTAATTGCCAATTCAACCTCTCGAGATCTGGTATAAGCCATAAATGTCATTTTGATGGATGCGTAAGGAAAAGGTGTGCAGACAATCACGTATACTGCGACCTTCATAAATGCGCCCGTGACTCGCGCTGTCTCAAGTTGAAGGAATTGAACAGCGGGAGAATATTTTGTCTATCTCACAATTGCTCTAAGCCGGGATGTTTATCATCAAGAGTAGAAGCAACAAAACTTTGTGAAGATCATGGTCGTGTAAATTAGGGACGGGAATTCACTACCTGTCGATGGAAACTAATGAAAATATTGTTGATATCGATAGTATATAAACATTATGATCTTCGTCGTCGCAGATGTGACCGAGCGTGGTGAATGTATACAAATCTCGACTGAAATGAAATGAATACATTATTCTTTACACATATTCACTCCCCAATCCTCCAAAATCTACCCGCACCAGAGCCATAAAATTTCCTTCTTCATTTCAATTAACACTTGATCAATCAACATCTTCTTACATCAAATCGCCTCACCTAACCTATCAATTCCATCCTTCACAAGAATCAAGAATCAAGAACCAAATATTCTCCCAACAACCCTTCCCTCACTCCAAAAACCAACCATCAATCATCAACCATCAACTCTATATGCCTTGTCACTGGCAACCCCATGGAGAAAGACGCTGCAAAGGAGCCAAAGAACCCGGAACCATTTTCTGCAATCAACGTAAGTAAACCTTTCTATCTATCTATCTGTCTATCTGTCTATCTGTCTTCAATACTAATCCACAATAACCATCTCAATAGATATATGTCGCAACGAAGAATGTCCCGAACAAATGCTCAACTACGATACATGGTGGTGTGAAAAACGTATGTAAATTTCTCTCAATCCCCTTCCCCCCCTTCCTCAATTCCACATAACCCAAAGCAAGACATAAACAAACAAAACAAAAACCCTAACACCAACCACAGACTCCCCCTGCACCCTCAAATCCTGTCCCCTCCCCCGCTACCACTCCGCCCTCAGCTGCCGTACCCACAAATGCCACTCCCCCAAATGCACCTCCCCTCAATTCCTCCCCTCCAGCTACTGCAGTGGCCACAAGTGCCACATCGACAATTGTCTGCGGACACGCACGCGCACGAATAGATTTTGCGATCGGCACGCGTGTGCGATGGGAGAATGTTTCAATTTGAAGGATATGGTGGGTGGGAGAGTTTATTGTGCGATGCATAGTTGTGGGACGCCGGGGTGTTTGGAGGGGAAGGAGGGGGAGGTGGAGGTTTGTGAGGGGCATGGGAGGGGGTGGAGGGGGTAGAGGGGTAGAGGGGCTAGGTGGGGTGTTTGGATTGGTGGGGTTGGGTTGATTGGAGGAAAGCGAGGTAATTAATTTATTAATGATGATGTGAATTGGGGATGAGATTGGACAAGATTGAGGGTTATCACCTTTATAAAGGCGATACATATATATCTGGGAGTAATTAGAGAAAGAGGAATCAGAAACCGAACCTAGAGGCAGGCACTCGTGGAAAAGAAGCTTTTCAATTCAGATATCCACAGACTTCTAGATTTCCACAGTATTCAAAGATATTCCACCTAAACACTCCATTTCCTAATTTTCCACTTTCTCGTCATTGCAACACTCAATCCAGATTCTACCATTTGGATAAACTTCCTCAAGTAAAGACACCTACCTAGGTAGTCCTCCAGATGCGCTACGTGGGAGTATCAACCAATGTACCGATCTAAGCAACTTTCCAGGCTGTGAACATAGACAACTAGCCATCTAATCTATTTTTCGACCCTTCATAGTGGTATTAACTTTCATACCTAGATAATCACACCAAAATTCTCCTTCAAATTACTTACCCAGTAGTCAGCCGAATAAATTCTACAAAACAAGAGATGGATATCTCAACATCCGAAACCGCACCGCCGTAGATATCCATCACTACACATCTCAGGCTCAAGTAGAGAATTTATAACTATTCAATACCTTTGAATTGTCACTTGACTTTTCCCTGATATTGATCTCGTCCCGCTTCCCTATACTCCCATCTCCCATCTCCCATCTCCCATCTCCCATCTCCCATCTCCCATCTCCCATCTCCCATCTCCCATCTCCCATCTCCCATCTCCCATCTCCCATCTCCCATCTCCCATCTCCCATCTCCCATCTCCCATCTCCCACTCCCACCGAATCTCCCATCGAATCTCGTGACCTTAAATCACCCCTCCCCACACACCCCCAAGACCCCATATCCCGTCCTCTCCCATCATTCCTCCCCCAATCTTTCCAACTCCGCCTCCCCCTCCTATCATCTTACTAATCCTCTTTCCTCTTTCCTGTCCCTCCTATCATCTTACTAATCCTCTTTCCTCTTTCCTGTCCCTCCTATCATCTTACTAATCCTCTTTCCTCTTTCCTCCCCCTCCTATCATCTCACTAATCCTCTTTCCTCTTCCCCACCTCTCCCAATAATCATCTCCTCTCATCACACCAATTTCCACACCCAAATCCGAACCCGAGCCCAAACCCACACTTTCCATCACCAATAAGTATTCATCCCCCCACAACAAGAAAAGATACTTGTACATCTCTTGCTTACTGACCTACCCACCTACCTGGTATCCACCCATCATAATGAATAAAGAGAATCAATCCAAGGAACTACCAGAACTGGATGTCTTTAATGAAATAGCATGAACGATATATCACAGCATACGGAATAAAACAAAAAGACCACACAATAATTTGGTACCAGAAATCGAGTAGAGATCTATTCTTCTCCCTTTCTTTCCTTCATACATAACCCTCTACCTACGATATCTCTCTTTGATCAGATAGCTTACGCTTCTATTGAACCTCATGTGGATCATTTGAAAATCTAATGGCTCGCATCTTCCCTACCCCCAATCCCAATCAATTCAAACCCAATCCAGTCCTACTAAATGAAATGCCTTGTCCGACAAAATCCCATTTTCTTTCGCCCATTCAACATTCCTTCCTTCCGTCCCAGTGCACCATCTAATCAGTCCAATAATTCATTTCCTTGGTTCACAACCACCACCGATTGTATCTTCCATTCGTCAATTCCACTCACAATTCCCTGCTACAACTTCCACTCACAATTCCTCCAACTCCCCCTCACAATCCACTCACAATCCCACTCCCCTAAAGATGAGCACTCTCTTGTTGTGTCTTCCTAACAACCTTATCAACTGCCCTCGCAAAATAATCAATATTATTAGTATTCAACCCCGCCATACTAATTCTACCATTCTTTGTCATATAAACATGAGCCTCACTTCTCAATTCCATGACTTGTTTCTCAGATAATCCTGTGAATGAAAACATGCCAATTTGTTCCGTGATGTGATTCCATTTTCCTGGTGTGCCCATTTCTTCGAGTTTCGATCGAAGTTCTTTACGCATAGTAATAATTCTTCCAGACATCTCTCTCAAATTTGCTTCCCACTCTTTGAATAATGCTTCATCATTCAAAATAGTACTTGCAATTCTAGCACCATACGCTGGAGGATTTGAGATTTCAGATCTTTGTAGAATGGCCAATTGACTTGAGATTCTGGCAATGTTTTTCTCGGCATCTTTTCCTGCTCCGGTAACGAAATGAAAACATCCAGTACGTTCACTGTATAAACCAAGATTCTTGGCAAAAGATTGAGCGATGCAAAGTTCAAAACCTTGTTCAATAAAGTAACGGACGGCCCAAGCATCTTTTGCCAAGTCTCCTGAAGCAAAACCTTGATATGCGCAATCGAAGAAAGGGAAATGTTGTTTTTGTTTCAGGAGCGCGGCAAGTTCTTTCCACTGATCTTGAGTTGGATCCACACCAGTAGGATTGTGTGCACAAGCGTGTAAGAGAATAATACTCTTATCCGGAGCATTTTGAATCGTATTCTTCATTCCATCGAAATCGAGACCTTTGGTAGATTTTGAAAAGTATGGATATGTAGCGACAGGCAGATGAACATTGGAGAAGATTTGATTATGATTTGCCCATGTTGGATTACTGAAATAAACCGTAGGAGAGCCTGGGTAGAATTTCTTGATGAAGAGTGCACCGAGATGAACCGCACCGGTTCCTGATATAGTTTGAACTGAACAAGCACGTTTTTCTGCGAGAGCTGGTGAATCTGCACCAAGCATAAGTTTCGCGGCTGCGGATGTGAAAGTGTTGAGACCAGCGATAGGAAGGTATTCGTGATTTAGAGCGGGGTCATTACGAAGGATATCGTCGGCCTGGGAGAAATGATTAGCAGATATAAATTAATCATTCAAGTAATCCAATACCTTCTTAACAACTGGTAAAACCCAAGGTTTAGCATTATTGTCTCGATAAGCTCCAATACCCAAATCAACCTTTTTATCAAAAGTATCAGCGCGATAAGCAGCCATTAATCCAAAGAGGGGATCTTCTGGAGCTTGAGGAACTGCATCCTCTGGAAAACTGGTGTTGGATAATTGAGACATGTGATTTGATACAATTTGAAGTCTTTCTTTGGGAGAAGAAGTTGATGAAGAGGATGATGTAGAAGATTGGAGAGGAAAAGACGAGTTGGTAATAAAGGGAGGGGAAGAAGATTTAAATGTCATGATATAATCTTGGCCTAATGATTGTTGCCTCTAAAACAGCGCAAACATGCGGGACCCGTGTCTCGCTTGGCGGAATCTGGGGTGATTTATGATACTCCCTCTAAATACCTCAACATCTTTCTAAAACTTCGGCATTGACGTTCAACTAACTCTATTGCATATGTCGACCCATAAATAAAATCCCTGTGATAGATAGATTTCCTTCATTTGGATTCGGGTACCTGGCCAAGCATGTCACGATAAACGTTCAGGTGGTTTTACATGTGAGTGAAATAGATATGATTGGTACGGTTCTACGGATTGCTACTGTGTGAAAAGTTTCAGATATTAAATACTTGGTATCCCACTTCTATTCATTTCCAATTCCACTTCATTGCTTCAGTCCTTCATCTTCATTGCTTCATTACTCCATCTTCATTGCTTCAATACTACACTGCTTCACTGCTCCAATGCTACATTGCTACATTGCTTCATTGCTTCATTACTTCACTACTCCGTTACTCCATTCCTCCATTCCTCCGTTACCCCGTTACTACAATCCTACAATCCTACATAACTAATACTTATATCACCAAATCCCACAATATCAAGAAAGCACTGAGACCACATGACGCATAGAATACATACTTGGCTGTACTCTTTCGTTCTGTTGCTCTTTTCAACTCTTTATTACCGCCCCCAACATTTTCGGTAGTTTGATAAGATTGTTCGGCTAGAATCTCAATTTGTTCCGCTTGTGATGCTACACTGTTTAAGAGTTGTGTTTGAAGTTCCGAGATTTCTATCAAGGACTTTTCTGCCGTTCTAGAAAATAGTTAGTGTAAGATCAAGAATCATCCCCAAGAATCACCCCAAGAATCACCCCAAGAATCACCCCAAGAACCACAAAACATACTTGACTTGATCCAAAGTACTTTGATAATGTTTTACCATATCATGATTTTCTTCCGCCAACATTTGTAATTGTTCCGAACTCAACTGAGGATCCGATGTTTGTGTTTGTGGTTGTGATTGTGCCTCGAGATGAGTATCTCCACTTGATGTGAACTTTACTGATGATGAATCTCCCAAGTTCCCAAGATCTGGCATCATAGCTCGAGATTTGGCAAGATTACTCTTATTCTTTTCCACCTCCCTCATGATTCGAATCTCCATCATTGAAGCTTGAAGTTTTCCACATTCCGAAAGTTTTTGTCGTAAATACCATATAACATTATCTCGATGCATCTTGATCGCATTTAATTTTGCTTCTTCCAATTGTTGCTCCAAAGATTTTGATTGTTCTCCTCCTCCTGCTGCCCAATTTCCGAATCTTCCAAGAGCTCTTGCATATTTACTTTGAATTATGAGTGTCTCGGTAGTGTATCGTATTCCTTCAGCCTCATCCATACTCTTTATATTGAAATTTAATTCTCGTAATAACTTTTTGGTTTCGGCATCGATTTCTTCTCGTTGTCGATCGGTAAGATGTCTTCGTTGTTTCGTCTTGGAAGATATGTTTGTTCGTCTTGCTGGAGGGGCTGTTGTTGAAAGGTAGGATTGCCGAATATCTTTTAGATAGTTGTTCAATGAAGCTATGTGGGAATTCTAATCGGGGGAACAAGTAAGTTAAGTGTGCGGGATGGATGTTGGAGTAGATTTGGGTATAACATACTATTCGATACGCTTCCTTTAAGAATTCATCAATATTTTGAAGAGTCAAAGAAGGATCAACTGTGGGAGGGGCATTAAGCCCCATTAACAGTTTATTGAGCTCGGGAGTGATGTCTGTCATGATTGAAGGTCTAGGAAATGTATGGACCAGTTAAGGGCATCAATGTATTGAACGCCTTCTGAAGTTGTTGTATAATAAGAGCTTGAATTGAAAGCTTTGAATAACTTCATTTCAATCAAGCTGGTCTGGCCAGATGCAATGACGAGGCTGAAATAAGAGTAGAGATTGTTTATGTAAGAAATTTAAGCTTTGCACCCCGCCAATAACAATGACTGCCGACGATTTAATTTTCAGCCTGATTGACAACACAGAAATCTAGTGTATGTTACTAGTGCTAGGTAACATCATTTTATGATCTCTCTGAGCTTCTTCTCAACTTCTTCCACCTTCTCTCTCCTTTTCTATCTTATCAAGCGATATTCTGTCATTTTACTCGAGTATCATTCTATCAAGCGATATTCTATCATTTCACCACATCACCACATCACCACATCACCACATCACCATCTCAACTCTCCTTCCCAATTCGCAATAAACTTTGGCGATTACCGCTCCTAGCCAAATCCAAGCGATCAATGCATCACTTCAAGACGGGATTGCGATATCGGCCGAGGTCTTGCGAGTGTCGCTTGACGAATGAAAGTCGGTTTAAGGATGGATCGGATCTAGAATGCCGCAAAGTACCACTAAAATGGTTAGGATTTGATATTGATGTCCATCTTTCATGGCGATAAAATGGGAATAACTGAAATGTTTTATCGGCTTTAATCATTCTCATATAAATATGTCTCTCCAATGATCTCTCCCACGGTAAGTGATTTGCATCATCTTTCAAGTATATCTCCTATTTTTGTTTCTCTACTCAAACACCAACACACATGTTTCAATTTCTTCATCATGATTGAAGATAATCGACTCGAAAATGTGGAAAAATCAGAAGAAATGGTGGCGAGTTTACAAAGTGCTATCATTCCCGAAGAAACGAACCAAATACCAAAAGATTCCATCGCACACGAATCAGAAAGATCTACAGAACAAGCTCATAATCATGATCATGCCACATCCATATCCGCATCCGCATCCCCATCAGCATCTGTATCCCCATCCTTATCCTCATCCGCCTCGTCAATTGCAGAAGATCACGATGGAACACGCGATCTCGAATTAGCACCTGTGGTATCTGGTCCACCATATTCGGCTTTTGGCGTATGGGAAAAAAGATATATTGTTGGAATGTGTACATTGGCAGCTTTCATCTCACCGACATCCGCCAATATCTACTTTCCAGCTCTCAATCCACTCGCCGCTGATCTCGGTGTATCGAATACCCTTATCAATTTGACCCTTACATCTTTCATGATCTTTCAAGGTCTTGCGCCAACAGTTTTTGGAGATTTGGCAGATATGGCTGGAAGAAGACCTACATATATTATTGCATTCATTATTTATTTGGGTGCAAATATTGGGTTGGCTTTACAAAATAGTTATGCTGCTTTATTCATCTTACGTTGTTTACAAAGTTGTGGAAGTAGTGGTGCTATTGCTTTAGGATTTGGTGTTGTCGCAGATGTATCAACAAGTGCTGAACGTGGATCATACATGGGAATTGTTGGAGCTGGTACAATGATGGGACCTGCTATAGGTCCTGTTATCGGTGGTATTTTGGCTCAATTTTTAGGATGGCGAGCAATTTTTTGGTTTCTCGTTATTCTCGCTGCCTTGTTCCTCATCCCGTTTGCTCTTACGGTTCCGGAAACTGGTCGTAATGTTGTTGGTAATGGATCTATTCCCCCTCAAGGTTGGAACATGACAATTATTGATTGGTGGAAATATCGAAAAGAACAAAAATCGGGGAATGGACTTTCTCGAACGGCAACAGCTGAAAGTAGAAAACTTGCCCAAGCTGAACTTGCAAGTAAACGACAATTACGATGGCCAAATCCTTTAAAGACTGTTTATATCGTCATGGAGAAAGATGTTGCTATGGTATTATTTTATAATGCTTTATTGTATACAGCATTTTATGATGTCACAGCTTCTCTACCTCAACTTTTCAAAGAAATTTACAATTTCAATGATTTACAAATCGGTTTATGTTATATTCCATTTGGAAGTGGTTGTGCTTTGGCTAGTATCATTAATGGTAAGATGCTAGATCGAAATTATCAGAAGATTGCTCGAAATATTGGATTTAGTATCGACCGTAAGAGAGGGGATAACTTGAGACATTTTCCAATTGAAAGAGCTAGATTAGAAATAATTTGGCCTCTTTTGACTATGGGACTTGCTTGTTATTTATGTTATGGTTGGGTTTTGGAAAAGAATGCCAATTTAGCTGCACCACTCATTCTTCAATTCTTTTTAGGACTTTTCATCAATGGTTCTTTTAACATTCTTAGTACACTTGTCGTCGATTTATATCCGCAAAGTCCATCTACTGCAACTGCAGCAAACAATCTTGTACGATGTTTACTTGGTGCAGGTGGAACAGGTATTATTACTATTATGATTGATCATATGGGAAGAGGATGGTGTTTTACATTCATTGCTCTTGTATGTATCGCTATGAGTCCAATGCTATGGATTGAATTGAAATGGGGTCCTATATGGAGAGAAGAAAGAATGGTAAGGATGGAAAAAGAAGCTGAGGAAAAGAAAGTTAGGGAGGAAGGGAAAGTAAGAGAGGAAGGGAAAATAAGAGAGGAAGGGAAAATAAGAGAGGAAGGGAAAATAGGAGAGGAAGGGAAAATAGGAGAGGAAGCAGGAAATACTAATACTCAAGTAATGTCGAATGAGAAGTAATGTCGAATGAGGGAAAGACAAACGAGAAAGTTTAATATGATCTTCCGTATATTCAATGGCTTTAGCGTTTGTGTCTAGCATTGGATGATTTGATTTAGCACATACCCATTTGAATTTGTACTTATGATGGTTTATATATTGGGAAGACTATGGATGGTGTATCAGGAGGAAATGATTGAGCTTGCGGTTTTTTGACAGTTATTACAGTTTAGTTATCTATATAAAATGAATGAATGATAAGCATCATTTCTTTGGTTCATGTAATATTCGTGTACTATTCGTGTACTATTCGTGTACTATTCATGTGCTATTCATTTATCATTCGTTTACCATTCATGTCCCACCCATCAAATTCATAAATTCATTTGGTTTCATCCAATACAAAAAGCTCCTTCTCTCCCCCCTGGTTTATTGCCTTATACGCAGGTACGTAAATAATGTCGGCGTAATCGGATATGTTATTTTACCCGGATTTACCGGTTTAACGGTCGGATCTCTTCTATCTTTTTTTGGTAAGCACAATACACATATAAGTAATCAATATTTTCATTCCCCCCCCCATCTTTTTCCTTCTCCTTTTTGGAATCAAATTCTAATATATTTTTTATAATTTGGAGAGTGTAATATGATCGTTCGTTCTTTGGATAATCTGGAGTTCTTGAGTTCTTGAGTGAATAGACTAGTGTTTTACTCATCATACATATACTTCTTGGACTTTTCCAGATGTAGAATTATTTATTGGGTGAATAAAAGTTAATGAAAGATATTCTATATCTTCAATTCATTCTCAAATATTCTTGATATTAAATCATATTTGTATCTCACCTACTTTTCGATCTTGTTCAAACACACTTTTACAACGCAAGCGCTCTTACCATCATTCCTTTTGAAGGCATTTTTATAACACAAGCGCTTTCATCATAATTCCTTCCAACAATATCATTTTTATATGACTTCATTTAATACATTAAGATCTCTTTCCCCTACAAATTCCAACCTCCATTATCTCACCTCGAACCAATTCATTTCCACAACATGATGGAAAAATCAAAACTTCCCGATTCCGCTCTACCCAACTTTCGACAATTAGAATGTGAAAAACCACCCAGTCCACTTACTTGTCAACAAGATTCAACCTCTACTTCTCACAAAGGTTTAATCACATATGATGATCTTCCACCATGGCATCAAGATAATCCTTCAATCTTTACCTCCTATCGACCTATCACTCACTCTCTCCGGGATTCTTTGAGGACATTCTTCACACTCCATAATGAAACACTCAATATTCATACCCATTCTATTCCCTTTTTGACATGTTTCCTCCTCACCGGACTTATCTTCTACATCTTTTCAATCCATTTTCCAGAAAGTCCATTGGTGGATCGATTTATTTTTTCTATTTTCTTTCTCACGACAATGATTTGTATGGGGTTTAGTATGGGATATCATACGTTGCTGAATCATTCGAAAGGGGTGGCGGAGATTTGGTTGAAGTTGGATTTTTTGGGGATTGTGGTTGCGATTTTGGGGGATTTTGTGACGGGCATTTATGTGGCGTTTTATTGTGAGTGGAGGTTTCAAGTGGGATATTGGGTTATGGTGGGTATTTGTCTTTTTTCTTCTTTCTTCATCATCATTATCATCACTATCTTCTTCTTCTACTGTATACTTTCTCTCCCCTCCTCTTCTCCTTCTTCTCCATCATCACCCCAAACTTCCACATTATACCCACAAAAACCACCAACATACTCACACCCAGCTAGATCATAACTCTCACTTCCGCAACCCTCATATTTCTACTACACCCACATTTTCAAGGTCTCCGTTGGCGTACCTTTCGTGTATGTATTTTTATAGGGACTGGATGTTCGGCTTTTGCACCTATTATCCATGCCATTGTTTATTTTGGTTGGGATCAAGTTGTTGATGGAACCGGTATGCCTTGGTATCTTGGGGAAGGAGGATTTCTTGTTCTTGGGGCGGTGGTTTACAGTGTGAGTTTTTTATCTTTCTTTTATTTTCTTGCCCGGATGCTTCTATACTTTGGATCCGAGATGGAGATTCTAGATAGATCTGAGAACAGTCTGAATTTGTCGAGTAAATACATTAACGGACGAATGAAAAAAACTAACATCAAAAAGTTACGTATACCAGAATGTTATTTCCCCGGTAAATTCGATATCATAGGTCATTCACATCAAATCTTTCATATTCTAGTGGTGGCAGCATCGGGAATGCATTTGGTGGGGTTGTTAAAAGCATATGAACATCAGTATTATTATCCGAGATGTGCGATGAGGTAATTTGTGGGGGTGGGGAAGTTTAGCGGAGGAGTTGGAAAGGGAAATTGAGACGAAGGAGGAATCTCGGAAGAAGTAATGGAATGGAATGAAGGTTGAGGATGAGGAGATAATAGGAAAAGAAAGGGGATTGGGCGTCTTGAATTCTGGAGATATGATGGGATGGCATAGGATGGGAGGGATTGAGATGTATGTCTGAAAAAAGTTTGTGGTGATCATTTGATCGCTGGCTGATTGGTTGGAAGTTGGGGAATTACTTTTGTAGTAAAGTAGAATGTGTATGGATGGTTGTTGCACTGGAATTATGGATGGTAGTTTGGGATATGAAATGAGTAATGATAATGGAGTTATGAGTTATGGAAATTTTCTCGATTAGTGTGGTGTAAGATGTCGAGGTTTAAAATGTGCGGGTTTGATTTATTTAGTATACCTAATATACCGTCCGTGGCAGGAAAACTCAACACCAGTGAGAGTTCTCTCCGTCAAAACAATCGCATAGTAGTAGCACAGATTCTCCTCCATAAAACGAAACGGAACAATAACTACTAGGTACTTCTCCTCATCCACTGATATTTTACAATGTATACGGAAGTAAAAATACAAAACCCACCAGGTGGATACATCTCAATGTGAATGTTCCCCCCCCCCCCCCCTCCCAAAACCCCATATTCGGCCACCACGGCAGTGGCCCCCGGAGGGCCAGCGGAGCGTCACTACCAATTAATGAATAGGTGGAGAGAGATATTTGGTGGGCATGTTGTACTGGAATTATAGATTGTATTTGTAGTTGTAATGTTATAGATGTTGCGGAGATTGGAGAAGGAGAAGAGGTAAAGAAGTGAAGGACTGGAGGTAATGGAGGTAGTGAATGGAGTGAAGATTGTGGAGATGGCAGTAGAGTAGAAAAGGGAAGTATAGAAAAGGGTTCAATTCGAAGACACTAGGTAGATTTCTTGACACGTAAGCGAGTTGGGATTGGTTGAGGAAAGGGGGAAAACGATATGTGAAGAAGTTGAATATTATCAAAATATTTACAAATCAAAGAATAGTATTAGATGCATTGCCTTCTATACTCCTCTTCGTAGAATCAGTAATTTGATCGCCTTTCCCCGTAAAAGGAATCAATAAAGAGTAGTGAAGATCTACAGCTGGAGGAAGTGATTCGGATTTCGGAAGAAAAAAAGAGAAAAGGGAAACGAAAATACAAGATATCTAAAAGGCAAATTGGATCATAGTATAAGAATAACAGATAGTAGGAAGGACATAGATAGTTACATGAAATGAAGACAATGATGTAAGAGTAAAATACCAATTTTAACATTTTCAAGGTTCACCGGAAATGACTTTTGTAAACTTTTCAAAATGAAAAATTTGAGATGAGTAGATAGACATTAAATGTTGATATATCTAGTAATGGGGATGTAGACCTTTCTCACTTCTAATGGTTTCATTCTCCCATACCATACTTCTAGATAAGATCAAAAATCGAAAAATCGGATGACGATGACTCCCGGTGAACCCTGAGAATGATTATTTGGAATTGGAATCTTTACTATTTTGGCGCTAACACTGATGATACCTATCTCTACGAGTAGATTAGACCTTGAAATTGACTGTGTTGAAATTATTGCTAGCCTCGACGTTAACAAGAGATGTTATTTCGAAGTGAATAGAATTCAAAATGAGGAAATTTTCATAAACGAAGAAGGATATCATCACAAATATCAACACAAATATGGCACAAATATGGCACAAACATGACCCCATGAGCTTCTGTGAAGTGAACATGTACAAGAAACCCAAAGAATAACTTCATAAATTTCAGCTTCATCGGATATTGTCATTGGACTCAAGTCTAATAAGCCACGACTATCCAAACCAATCCCTTTCCTCTTATCACTCTTCCATAGATTGTCGATTCTGTAGACCACTCCTTTGACAAGATGCCGTTACAAAAACCAGAAGCAGAGGTGAGCTTTCAAGCACTCTTATTAGAAGGATGTGAGCTTGGGCAGTTCACATCCAAATGGAACAAAACGCAAAAGAATTCAGACAACTTGGGGTACGCGTATCCAGAACTGCTATCCCCTTTTCTTTTTCCACAACTATGAGATATTGTAGACTTCCCTTTCTCTCCGTTTTCATTCAACTGAAGTACATATACTATCATTCTTCCATTGTGTTGTGCTGCCCTACTTCCCTATTGTACTATCATGAATACAGTGTCGTGTATTACGAAATGGGCATCCATTACCTAGATTCGGAGAGTTAGATCTTGATTGATTCGAGGATGAAATTGGACCTTTCGCAGATTGTCCAAGCGAAGAGGGGTAGGATATTGCCCTGTAGTGACAGAATCCGTGGTTGACGAAGTGATCCTTTCGTAATTGCCATAAATTCTATAATACCTTTATTATGTATTGAATAAATCGTTTTTAAAATAATAATATAATTAATTTAATTATTATATATAGCAAAAGTTTTTTATTTTAAAAGTATTTTGTTGTTTTTAATGGAATTTATTGCTTCTTTTTATATTCAAATTCAAATATCATTATTTTTTATTATATCTAAAATATATATTTATATATAAATCAATTATCACATTTTAAATTATATATTTATATAAAAATTTGAGAATATATAAATTAAGACTTTATATGAATCACAAGATTACAAATAAAAAACATATAAAAATAATACTATAAGTTCTATAACCAGCTTATCCCTATTTCTCCTTATTCCTTTTTATCTCTAAGATTGCGATATTTCTATTATCAAATTTCTAAATTATATATCTACTTGATTTCTTTTCTATATTTCAATATAATCACTTCTTTTTTATTTGATATCTAGAATTATCAAAATATTCTTTTAAATCTTCTTATTCTTTTAAATCGAATTTCTATCTCAATTATTTTAATTAAATATTTTAAATAAAAAAAGCTTCAATATATTATAACTCTTTTTTATTGTATTACAATAATGAGAATATATTATTCTCCAACCTCTCCCCACCCTTTTCAAACACAAATTATTATATCCTCTTTATATATATTTCCCTTTATTTTCAAAAGGCTTTTTATTAATATTATTTTATTTATTAATATTTTTTTATTTATTAATATTAAATTATCCATTAATATTCTTTTGTTTATTAATACTTTTTTATTTATTAATATTATTTTGTTTTTTAATATCTAATAAATCCTTAGTTTCCAGATTATTCCTTTTGAAATTATAAATAAATTAAAGTTGTAATAACAAAGTTTTTAATAAGATTAATATTATTCTTATTAAACTTAATATTATATTTAATTCTTAAATATTCATATTATTAATATCAAAAAGAAATAATAATTTTGTTTTAATAGAATATATAACATTTCTCTAAATACCTCAATATTATTAATTTTTGAAATCAAATATTAAACCTTTATTTTACTCAAATATTTTTATAAAATATTAAATTAAATAAAACCTAATTTCTCTTAATATAAAACTTACTTTTTGAAAAACTTATAGAATCTTGATTTCAATATCTTCTTTTTTTCAATATTATAAATCTTTTTTTATTATTTTATTTATTCTATATAATAATAATACAAATAGTATTTATAAATTATAAATTCTCAAAGTTATTTAAATTAAGGAATTCATTTAGAGTATTATCTCGAATATATTATTAAAGAATAAATAGTAATACTTTTCAATTATAAAAATCATTTTATTCTTGTATATACTTTAATTGATTTTGTATATAAATCTAAAAGTATATAAATATATTAGAATTATAATTATCTTTAAAATATCAAGCTAAATATTCCTTTATTATATCAAAAATTGTTTTAAAATCTATTATTATTCTTTTCCTATATTCAGATATTATTATATTTGATATCAAAGTAATAAATGATTTATTAATAATAATTATATAAGTTAAAGGATTTTATTATTCAAATTAACCTTTTCGAATTAAGGTTTAAGGTAAAATTTTATTATATCTTATTAAAATAACAAAAAATTATAGTAACGTAATGTATGGGGAACTCGGACATATAGGGAACTCGGATAATTTTAGCCTATCACCAATTTGAAATTGCAATAACTTTTATTATATATATTCAATCATTTTCTATATTTATTCAAATTGAAGAGAAGTTTTAAAAGATTATAATTTCATTTCAATTGAAAGAATTTAAATTAATTAGAAAGGCTATAGAGCATTTTGAAGTTTCTAAGTCTATTTTAGTTGATAAACTAACTAAAAAGAAAATACATTCCCAAATCTATAAAATAGTTCAAATTCTTTCAAACATAAAAGAAAATACTCTTATATAATGGATTTCATGATTTATTATTATTGGATTCTTTATTATACTTATATTAGTAAAGGAAATAGTTAATGAAATTCGTTTTCGATGTATTCGGGTTGTATTATTTTGAAATCCTATTTTGATAGAAATTCCATTTATAGGCTACAAATGGATTTATAGATTCCAAAAACAATATTCAGAATTTAAAATATATTATTTATATCAATTAGAGTTTAATCAGATTAAAAAAGTAATTCTAAAGAATATTCAGATTTGGTTTGATATATTTTGTATATATTTTATTGAATAAAAATATAAACTAAATGATATGTATAATATGAATAAAATTGGATTTAGAGTTGGAAATATTTAAAGTATTTGTATAATAATTAATTCTATTTAGAAATCGAATTAAAAAGTTATAATTAATAAATAAAAATAAATAATTATATTTGAATATATTAATGTAGTTAGAAATGCTTTATTATTTATAATTATTTTTAAGATTTAGAATATAAATTCTATATGGATTTCAAAGGATATATTTTAAAACTAATAGTTTTTTATTAGTATAAATAAATAAACCTTAAATAGTTATAAATTAGAATAATTAAAAAGAGTTTTCAAATTAGAATTCAAGAAAGTATTAAATAATCAATCTCGACTTTTAATTATAAATAGTTATTT